GATTAATATCTTTTTGTACACACTCACTCCTCACAACAAGCAGTCAAATCTATAGATCGGCACACACGCGTTCTTCCCTTGGAAATACTGGTCTCTCAAATACCTCCCCTTCACCTTGATCTCCATCCGCATTTTTTCTTTGAAATAATCCCATACCCGGCTCGGAAAGACAAATAAATAGCCGACATTCTTATTCGACACAACGGCACACGTTTCCCCTGTCAAACACCCTTCGATCGGTTTGGGTAAGACGTGTATGATCTGCCCTTGTAATTCGATAAACTCGCTGAACTCGCACTTCAAACAAGCCATCATTTGCACATTTGAGAATTTCTCTTTTATCACTTCCTTTGCCCTTTCTTCGTGTTGCATGAAAAACGTTTTCACACCAACCTTAAACGTTTTAAGAGGAATATTTTCGTTGTGGGAATACTCCTCGACAAACAATACAGGAGGCTCTTTACTCAGAACGCTGTACTTCGTCGCTGTTATCTCAAGCCCACTAATCGGAACACACCCCATTTTGATCCCAACAAAAAACACCGTTTTGCCCAAAATACCAACAAACACAACAATCTTTGTTTTGCAGACCTCGACAGGTTTACTCGAGAAACTAATCACGTTCCACGTGTCGCTTGCTGGAACTCCAAATTTCAACTCGAAATCTCCTTGTGAAAAATGGTCAACGCGTTGTTGTACTTCATAGCACTCGCATCCCCCTCGTTGTTTCAGAACGTAATTTTGGTCAGTGCCTTTCACACCTTCATCTTCACTTTGTGTTGCTTTCTTCGGATATGAATATTGCGTTGTTTTCGCTGTTAAATACGTCTGGAACGTGTCACTTCCGTTGTTTAACCTCGTACCACATTCCTTCGATGGCGCCGCACCATTTCCATGGACAGAGGTCTCAATTTCTTCCATTGAATTTTGCTCATTTCCTGGATGTTGACTGAAACAACTTTCTATTTCATCTTCAGACATTTCGTTGTCCTCTCTCTTCTCTTTTAACCCAACATCGACTCTGTTTAAAATACCGTTAATATCGTCATCCTCCATCTTGCTTTGTTGCTTTTTCAATTCATCAGTCTCGATATCCCCAAACAACCGCTCAAAACTCGGCCGTCCTTCCAAATTACCAAACGTGGAGGACGATGACGTGAGTTTATCATATGTCCTCTTGTCTATTCCACCCAAGTACTTAATTTCGGGATACAGTTGTGAATTGTCGAGAATGGTTGCTCCACTCGACACACTATCCAATCCACTTTCTTCAAAACATGTTTCTTCAAGTCTCACCGTCTTTATTTCTTCTTCTTTTTTTGTTGTATTTCGTTGCAGTGAATTTCTTTTCACAGGAACCGAAGTCCATTCTTCTTCACTTTTGGATTTTTCTTTTGGTGTTTCGACATTGTCTTCTTTCTTGGTTTGAGGCTCAATCAAAAAGTCTGGTGTGACAATTCTTGGGATATTTTCCTCGAGCATCGTGTTTGTCTTATGTTCTGGGAACTGCACTATTCCTTGATTTTCAATTTTAGTGTTCGAAACTTGTGGCGACTTACGTTGAAAAACAGGGTCATTCAAAATGCGTTGCGTTTCCTCGTCGTCGTCGACAAAGTACTTTTGGATGTCTTCTCGTGACTTTTCCTCTATCGAGTCGAGAAGTTGTGAATTATCGAGATCTGGCAACGCTTTTATAGGCTCATGCGAGATTGCTTTTATGAGTGGTGGTGACTTTTTGTTGATTTTTGTGATTGCAGGAGGAATTGGCTTTTGACTATTTGGTCGAACGACAAATTTTGAGACAAAATTTGTAACGAAGATCGGCTTTTGGTTTTGGGTGGAACGAGAAGATTTGAAAGGTTTGTACTCGTTGCTTTTTTTACTTTTCATTTTTATCTTTTTTAGTTTCCGCCAATTGGAAAAACGTCAAACCCTTTTTTTTATCTGTTATTGACATAATAAAACTATATTTTATAATTCAATTTTATTACAAATTATAGTTTTTTTATCACTCTGTTTTGAAAAGAAAAAAAATAAAAAAAGTGAATAATTTTTTTAATTATAAATTATTATATTTTCAAGTTAAATATTTTTGGATGTACTAAAAAGAGGAATGTTTATAAAAATAGAATAATATTAAAATAAATGTATTATTTATAAATATTATTTTTTAATAACTATATAATAATGTTAATATAATAATTAGTTCAAATTAACACTATAAATGTTATTTGAAAATGTTATAATTTTCAAAACCTCAATTTGTCAATTACTCAAAAAGATTAAAAAAATGAGAAACCAATATAAATAGTAAATCGAATTAAATCAAATAACAAATTGAAATTTTATTTGAAAAAAATGATTAAGAAAATCACAAAACTGTTATCTCAAATAGATGTCTTTAGTGGTGGATTTAAACAAGTATATTCTTACATACATCAAGTCGAACGACGTGGTTTCTTTAGCATTGCTTATGCTAACTAACACAGAGTTTTTTACAAATTCCGATGGGACACAAAAGGAGATCTTGCTTCGTTCCATCACGCTGACACAACCGAACGTGACGTTATCTCTATCTGCGGCGTGTGTCCACGTATTACTTCATCCAACACCAGACTATAATTCAATAGTCGAGATATTACACAGTGCATCCTCGTCACAGTTGTATCTCACTGAAAAGCTTCAACCGATCTTCAAAGAAATTTTGAAGGGGATGGTAGTTGCAATTGACACAAAAGCGCTCACCGAGTCGAACGTGTTAGTGTTATTGACACCCATTTTATTATTCCTCAGCTGTGATGTTGAATCTTTACACGCGTCGGCAACTAAAGTACTCATCTCGTCGTGGAAGAATTACTCCACCCTTGTCGAACAAATCGTCCAAGACATCTGTTTGGCGTTTTCTACGTCAACTGCGCAACGATCAAAATCCGTTGCTCTTAAATTGGCAACGCCACTCACCGCTGCTTTGGTCCTCGCGTTGCAAGCAGACGGAGAGTACAAAAAGTCGACAACCCTCGCAACGACGTTCATGAACAACTTCTTCGCAACACTCATTTCTAGCGCTCAACCAAGTCTTCTCGCAAATTTCTCGGCAGATGTCATGTCACTTGCAACTACTCCGGCGTACCCGGCCGCTCTTATTTTATTTCAATTGCTCGTTAATGCAACACTGACTCAATTGGTCAAAGGGAAACTGCCACTTAGTGTGAAGTACGTCGCAATTGATTTCATTAGTCAAGTCGCGGCTTCGTTCCATTCAAAACAGACGAAAACGGACGATAAAATGCAAGAAGTCTGCAACAGTTGCGGGAACGACTTTGTTCAAACTGAAGGCGTGGAATGGACGAACGTGCCGCAGGGAATGTGCGGGAAGTGCTACGTGAACGAACTTCTCTCCGACTATTTCTCGAAACTGACGGGCAAAAAGCTCACTTCCATTTGGTATTTACGAGAGGCGGTCCTTGCTTTGGCCGCCAATTTAAATGTTTCTGGGTACAAACTGTTGTGTGGACTATTTTTGGAGCAAATTAAGAACGACGAGAAGAGCAAAGAATGGGAGAAAAATGCGCTTGAAACGCAACTGGGGTGGGAGGATCCACAGAACCATTTTATTGTGTCGAGGGTGAATATTGGAGAGGTGTTGATACGGTTTGATGCGTTTGATGACAAACAATTTCTTGAGATAGTGATACCGGAGTTTCCAAAAATACAGGAGATGTGTTTGAATTGCACATTGAAAATGATACAAGACAGTCAGGCGATGGTGAGAGCGAGAGGGTTAAAGGGGTTGGTGAGTATAATTAAAGTAACTCCGGATTTGGGGGACAAACCAATGATTCAGAACGTCATTGTGAACAGATTGAAAGACAAAAGTGCGACCGTTCGAGAGACTGCTCTTGATTTGGTTGCAATGAAACTTGGTGGGGAAGAGATTAATGAAGTTGTGGAACGACTGTTCGACGTGTCTGTGTTGGTGAGAAAGAAAGCCGTGAAACTAGTTTTAGTCAGAATTAAAGAAATGATATTTGAAAAGGACCCGCTTGCTTCTCCGTTGTTGAAAAGAATCTTTTTAATTGCGTCGCGACCGGACAGACAAAATGACAGAGAAGAAGCCAAGAAAATTATTCGAGAAGTCTTTCTACCTCTTAATAACCTCAAAATTGATTTGTTGATCAATGTGGTGCAAACGGAAATCACGGAAGCTGCGAATCAATTGATTGACACTTTGAATGATCAACAGAATGAAACGCTACAAAACTATTTGATCAGTCAACTTGGTTCGGAGAGTCTGATTAAGGTATTGATGTTATTGAAATTGAGTGCAAAGGGAACTTCAAGTAAAATCCGGATCGCAAACAAAATGGGTGATTTGATGAGTTTTGTTTGTTTAGACGATGACAAAGTGAAAGAAACGAATGCGGTGCTGGAGCTGATTTCATTGGTTGTGAGTCACATGAACGTAACAAAAAGCGACGAAATGGTGATGAAACGACTTTCTTCGACGCTTCTGAATATGACATACAAAACAACGAATTTGACGATGTTGATATTGTTGGTGAAGTGTTTTATCGGCGTCGAGCTGAAGAAAAACGAAATTAACACCATTGGAGATTTCTGTGTCCAATACTTGAAACTGGCACTGAACGACTCCGTGAGACAACGTGCTTTGAATGTGTTGGCGGTCATCTTTAAAAACGTGGATTTGAGTGCGACAAACAGTCTGAAGAACTACTACCTCAACTCAAACAAACCGGTCGCAGTCGATTTGTTCAACACAATTTTGACGCTCAAATCATCGACAAGCGCAGGGCTGATTTGCCAGATGAACACAATTTTTAGCTTACTCCAGCAATATCCGGGCTTGTATATCCACTACGAGACAATCAAAAATTACTTTTCGATATACATCACAAAGACACTCTCTTCGGGAAACGAACAATTGGCGATCTCAACTTTATCGTTGTTGTTTGAGTTGTTTGAAGCTGAAACCACAGACGACTTGAGCGCGCTTCAAACAACGTTGGCGCAAACGCATACAAAGGAATTACTTCCATTACTGACTTCACAAAGCGCGAGCGTCCGATTCAAAGCGTTAGTCTTGGCCAGTTCGATAATTAAGAAGGGTCTTATCAACCCAATTCAGATTTTGTCTGCATTGATCGGACTTGTCACGGACAAAACGCAACTTACGTCCACAAACGCGATTTCGTTGTTAAGACTTTTGAATGAGAAAAGCAGTTCGTTGATTCAATGCCGATTTGTGGAAGGGTCGCAAATGGGGTTCAAGCTGAGAGGAGAAGAGCGAAGTCTTATGCGAATACCACACCCACTGAGTTCTGTTTATCTGCTCTTTTCATTGAACCAGAGAAAAGCAGTTTTGACGAGTTTGGTTCAGAAGTTCAGTGACACAGTCGAAGAGGGAGTTTCGGAGGATGGGGTGTATGAGAACTTGTTCCTGTTGGAGGTTGTCTGTTTACTGCAATACACCAAGTCAACTGAAGTCATGATTGTGCTCCAGCCGCTTAAGAAGATTGCTGCGGTATCTTTGCCGGATATACGAGGATCGATGAAGAAAAGGATGAAAAGCCAAAATGTGAAAACGACGTCGATTGCGCAGTTAATTGTTTGTGTCTATGCCACGATGGTTGCAAACTTTTTGGGGAGTTATTATAATGTGAACGAAGAGGGAAATGCTGAGAACTTGACCACTTCAGTCAGCGATTTACAAGACAACCAACACCCATTTGTTGTTGCTGGGTTTAAGTATATAGACAAAATCATGAGCGACTTTGATGCTTTAAAGGCATTTTGGAAGTACTCGAGACAAGTGATGGATGGGGAATACGAGAACTTTACGCTTCAAAATTGATTTAATTTATGTGAGTTTTATTATGGAAGAACACATTCAACAATGTGAAAGGATAAATTAGCAAGCAGAAAGCTTGGCGCAAATAGCTGACGGATCGACCTTGTTCTCGATCAATTGGATGAGCTTGTCAACACCAAAGTCGAGGATTTTAGTGCAAAGAGAAGCGACAAATCCAGACACCTTGTCACAAAGGGTGTCAACGTATTCTTTCACTTTGTCAGCACCTTTGGTGGTCAAGAGAGATTCCAAAGTGTTGATCAAACTTGTGCACATATTACATAGGAATCCACCTTGACGTGAAGTGAATGCAAAAGCAACAGCAATGAACAAAACAAAGACGACGAATTTCATTTCACAAGAATGATTTAATAGATGTGATTTATAAGTAAAGTATTATTATTAGATAGTATTGAACAGGCGAGACAGCCTGTTCTGTCTAATAGTATCGAAAAAACAATCTGTTGGGTTCTTTGGGTTGAATGGTAAAAGAACTATTACAATATAATATAAAAGTAGTATATTTTATTAATGAAATTTTATACTAACTAAATTAATGGTAAACGAAAAAAAATATTTGTTTAAAAAAAACAAAAATAGTTTTGTTAATTATATAATTAATTATTAAGTATTATAACTAATTAATAGAACTAAAATAGTTTCATTTAATAAAAAAATAACCAATTAATCTATAATATTACTAAACTGATTACTATAAAATGAATTATACATGAATCTAATGATTACTAATAAAAGAACCATAAAACTTAACCAAGACAATACATCAAATTAACATTTTGCGTTCAAGCAAATAGATTCGAGTTGTGTTTGTCTGTAAGTGAGTTTCTTTCCTCTGAACCAGTCTGTTCTGAGAGAAGCTCTTTCTGCGTTAATAATTTTAGCGATAATGAAGTCGTGTAAAGCGCTTTCGAAGATATACTTTTCCTTCATAATGAAAGGAGGTACAGGGATGACGTCATTCTTTACGCACAAGTTAATATCATACTTTGGAGTATTAGAATATGGTTGGTCCAAATCGTACCCAACAATGAGGAAAGCGTGGTTAGTTGGTGATGTGAACGACGTGATATCAATTGGTTCTTGTATTCCATTGTACTCTTTAAATATGACAACGACAATATCATTTTGTATCAACTTTCTCTTGTCTTGTACTCCAACACTTTTCCCATTTACATTCATCAGCGTACTTACATGGAACGCTACTTGAATCTCATTATTTGAGAATGTCGTTGTTAAAGTCTCTGCACCGTAATTCCCATTTTCCAACCCTCCAAGGTATCCAACATATCCTTTCACACTCACTACATCTCCCAGCAATTTCAAAAATTGCATATAAAAAGGACTTCCCTCAGTGTTATTATAAAACTGATTCTCTGTGATCTGTCCCATCGCTCCATACAAAACTCCAACTTTAACCGCATTATGAACCCCACTCCCTTCAAACTTACACAGTGCGGAATATATCTGCCGACTTTGAATCGGACTCGGAGTCTTCCCGACAAACCCAGCTTCACTCAAAATTTGACTGTCGGGTGTGAGGATCGGATACTCCCGCCGTAAGTCCCCACGTTTCGACCAGATGATCACTTTCCGTTTCTTCTCTTTCTCACAGCCGTCGACTTCATTCCGCTCCTTCTTCACTTTATCAAGGAAAGTCGTGTTCTTTGGAAGCCCGTCGGTGATCGAGACCACTTTAATCCCTGTCGGAAGTGCTATGATGTAGTTGACATGCTTCTTCTGGTCAAAATGCTTCTCGTAATATCTGATCGCAAGCGACGCGTCGTGTGTGTTGTAACACTTCAACTCTTCACTTGTGCTTGTACAGCATGTGTAGAAGTTCTCAAGGTGATACCCTATAGGCAATGTCGCGATGTCAACTAACGCGACTTTGTCGGGGTTCACGGCAGTGAGCCACTTCTCTTCGGGGTATGTGACAGTGACAAAGCTTTTTTGCATCTTTTCGATTTGTTGTTGACTCAAAAACGGCTGTAAAAAGCACGAATGGAGTATTTCGTTGAGTTCCCGTGTAAATTTGTGTTCCTCAGCAATTTCAAAGATCGTCTTCCCATAGAACTTTAAATTGGTCTTTGCGTTGTATTGTAACAACACACGTACTGCCTGAGAATTGTTCCGCTTAACTGCACAATAGAGAGGGTAATCCCCACTCATTGTTTGAGTATTCACATCAGCTCCCCGAGAACAGAGTAACTCGAGGGCTTCAATATTAAGTGACGCATTACACAAACAGTTCAGTGCAGAATCTCCCTTCGAAGAAACTTCATTCAAAAATTCGAAGTTATTTGCATCGCTCGATAAGACTTTGCGCAATATCGGCAACAACTTTCCGATATCCATTTGTCGACATAAGTAGTGCAATGGTGTGCGATATTGGACATTTTTCAGTTTCACGTCTCCGCCCTTTTCAATTAACAGTTCCACTAACTTCACGTTACACTGCTGTTTCCCTAAAGCAACGTGTAAAGGCGTATATCGGAATTTATCACCGGCATTTGGATAAGCGCCTTTCTCAAGTAACCACATCGCCATATCTACAAATCCATGTTCGACAACATAGTGGAGAAGTGTTTTGCCATTTTCATCGCAATCGTTTGCACCATATTTTCTGACATAAGCCATCATCGGTTGTTCCGTCTGTGCTATTGTCACCGAATTTCCTTGGAACAGTTGTGTCATCTCAGTAAACTCTTTACGAGTCCCTTGGAGCGGCATATACGCAAACCAAAAGATCATCGCGCCTTTGTCGCAGACTTCTTTGAGATGGACAGTGAACCCGTCATATGATTTCTATGGCGTGAATGTGTTTCTATTACAATAGTAAAAACAATTAATAATTATAATATTTACTATTCTACTTATAATAAACTAATAAAGAACCAAACATTAATTTGTGAGTCAGGGACACGAATAGATGTGGGGTGTGTTGAGACTAAGTATGTATACAAATTGGGGACCGCACTAAAGATTTTCGGGAAGAGTACAGAATACTTCAATTGACCATTTGAAGGGTCGACAACACCACTTTCAAACTGTTCTCCACATAACGGAAATTGGAGGGAAAAAGTATGGAATTCCTTCATAAAATTCGACCGTGAAAGATCTTCTAAGTCACACTTCTCTTTGCGAAGCTTTTGGACCTCATGCTTTAATCGATCAATTTCACTCACTTCTAAGACTTCAACTATTTCCTTTTGATCAGGAGTCGCCTGTGGAGTATATAAGATCTCTTGAATCATGTCGAGGGGCGAGTTTAAATGGGGAGTCCCATCGTTTGCTCGCATTTTGTTTGTCTAAGTTTCAAGAGATCTTTTGAAGATTTCGGTAGGGAATTAACACCTTTATAATTATACAAGTCGAATAAAGATAATATATTATACCATCTTTATTCAATTTTATTGAATAAAATAACACCCCTTTTTTCTGCAGTTCATTGTGTTACTTTTTGTTGTAAAATAAGACTCTTCTTGGTTTTGTTATTTAATAGTATGATTTAATTATATTTGAACTAATGTTCAAGTGAATTTGATCCTCTAATTTATTAATTCTTTTATTACAAATATTAATATATTTCTTATATTTGATTGTTTGAAAATTGTACTATAATTTTTAATTTTTTTTCTCATTAGATTGTTATTATTCAAAACATTTATTTTGGAAAAAATTATTTTTCAACAGTTATAATATTATTATAATTGTTTTTTCAACAAAAATTAACAATTATTTTTGTTTGAAAAATAATTTAATTAACACTTTAAACAACATTGAACAAAATTCAAGTGGTCTAAAAATCGGGAAATTATGAGTTTATTAAATAAATATTCGTTTTTTAGAGTTTATATTATGTGCATAAACAATACACAAGCTAAAAAAGGAAAATCATCAAAAATTTGATTAATATCCCTGTAAAAACAGGCCAAAACAAAAATAAGGGTGTTATTTTAAGTGTTAAAACCAACAATAGTTTTAATAATATATGTGTTAGAGAATAATTAATCAAACTAAAAAAATAAAACTATAATTCATAATAAATATAAATTAAAAAAATAATTAAAAACTTTAGTAATAATAAATAACATCAATAGTAGTTAAGGGAGATATATTTTATTAATAAATAATATATTATTAATTATTATTATTAAACTAAAATAATAATGTAATACTAATAAAAATTATTAATTATAAATTAATCATACAACTCATTTATTAAAATGTTATAATAAAATTATTATAATAAATAGTAAAGCAATGAGAGTATTAAACAAATGAACCACAAAAGTCTTCTTACTGATTGAATTTGCAGAAGTACCTCAGTGCTCTTTCTCCACCAAAGCATAAAACGATATCTGCAGCTATAAGTCCGATGATATGATACTTCAAATCGTCTGTTGGGAATTTGACCATTCCAAAAAGGGTGTTAAGTTCAGGGACGATCTCAAGAGCAAGTACAACGATGATACTAAATATTGCCAACAACGAATATAACAGTGGCTTGTACTCTGTGATATTCTTTCTATACGGTTCTCCGACGTAGTTAACTGCGAATGTTGTTGCGTTGATGACATTTGACACCAAGAAGATGATAGAGTTAACTATGGTCGGTTTGAACTCTTCGTCTTCTTCTGGTATTTTGTAATCACTCCCAGCAGCTTCTTTCGCCCATTTAAGAGCGAGTTGGATAACAATAAAGTGGACGACTGCTTGGAAGATTACTGCGGAGACATGGAACACCGCAAAGATGTTCTTTGTTGGTTTTGACTTGCTCAACTTATCGAGTGGCATAGTGTTCGACAACATCAAGAAACAGATTGACAGTAAGATCCCTGAGACAGTCATTTGGATATCGGAATTTTTCACACGTTCAAGTTTTAATACTGACAAGTCGTAGGCACTAATTAAACAGTTCAACGCCAATATTCTGAACATTTGTTGTGTCGTAACTAATGTGCATCTGCCTTGTTTTAAGACTTGAGCAACAGGGGAGATCTCAATTGATTTACAACTGAATGGAGATGCCATTGAAGCGTCGCCAAATTTAGGCACTGAAGACTCATCATCGGGGATCCCTTCCATCATCTTCACTAATTGTTCCTTTAAGAACGCTTGTTTCTCCGCAGGGGTCATTCGCCGTCGTCGTTCAATTTCTTCACGACTCAGTTGCGTGACTGCTGGGCGTGTTGGCATTGGGACCAATCCCAATTTGATCGCATCAGCTTCTTTCTTTTCTTTCTCTGATGGTAAAGTGTTTAAGATCGCTACACCCACATCAGCACATTTCAAAGCTCCAACATCGTTGGTACCATCTCCACACATCAACACTATTTGATTCGACGATTTCATCACAGAAACTACTTCTTCCTTTTGATTTGGTGTAACTCGTGCAAACACCTTCGTTTGTTTAATAAGTGCTGAACTGATCAGTGGACTCGCAGTGAGAATATATGAAAGCGCCTCACCACTGAGACAAATCTCATAACTCAATAGACTTTCCGGCAATTTCGAGATGTCAAATTCCTCAAGCTCAACACCTTCCATATCACACCACACCCACTTCTCATTCTCTTTTGTTAATACCATCTTTGATTTGGAAATGATCTCGAGCTCCTCTGCAACGTGTGCTGCGGTATATACACTGTCGCCAGTAATCATCACAACATCGTGGCCACTCTCTTTCAGTACTTTAATATTCTCTTTACTCTCTTTCTTCAATGGCGATGTAAACAAAATGAACCCCCCAAAGATAAGATCCTTTTCAACGTCTTCTCGAACGTACTTCCCGCTCTTCCGCTCAACATTTTTGTACCCAAACGCTAACACTCTCATACCCTGTAACGTGAAAAAGCGATTAATGTTATCGTAGTGATGTGGAATATCAACGAATCGGTCTTTCAGTATCTCCGGAGCGCCTTTGGCAAACGCCACATATGTTCGAGTGTTACTCTGGAAATTGAAGATCGATGCAACAACGGACATCCTCTTTAACATCGATGAGAAAGGGAAGCGTTGGACTGTTTCTATCTGCTGGCTTGTTTTTTTAACTGGGCAGAATTTGTTTTCAGCGTTCAAATTCCACTTTGAAAATTCAAGGGCGGCTTTCTCCGCAGGGTCTCCAATGATCTTCCCGTCACGCATTCGCGACAGGGAGTTGCACGCCACAATCACTTGTAACTTCTCAATAGGAATTTTAGAAAAGTCCGTTTGGAGTTCGAATGGATCTGTTCCAAATCCCGCAACTCCGGCTACACTGACTTCGTCCGATGTTAATGTCCCCGTCTTATCAAATGCGCAGACATCAACAGACCCTGCAAATGGTATTCTGAAAGGTTCTGTGCAAAAGATGAATTGTTTCTTGAGGGATACAAGTGAGTAGTTAATCGCGTTAGTTAATTCCATTGGAAGTTCTGGAGGAACGACATTTGTAATGATTAACACACATGACAGTACCAATTTCCAGAAGTCTTTTCCTTTGACAATCCCATCATAAAAGACATATCCAGACGCTAGAATAGCAAAGACTAATAAGAACAAGATCACTACTAAACTCTCAAGGTTGTTCGCACTCTTCCTCTCCGAACTCGAGATGATTGTCCTCAACAACTTGCCTTGAGCAGTTTGAAATCCTGTATGAATAACATACCCATAACAATTCTCGTCTTGTAAGATATCAGTCCCACCAAAGAGAATGTGATGTTTGTGCGTCTCTAAATCAAGAACATCGTTCTCCGTCTTAGAATCAATTATTGTGGAAAGAGCCTCACGCATATGTGGTGTACTTTCCCCAGTCAAGATGGCTTCATTGACAACACACATCCCTTCCACTATCACACAGTCCGCTATAGCCTTTCCACTTGTGATTTCAATGATATCTCCCGGGTAGATGTGATCACTGTCTACCGTCTTCTTATCACCATCTCGATACACTTTGTGCTTTGTTGGCTCCATCGCGGCCATTGCCCGGAAATTGCCGTAATTCTTCATTCGCGTGAATGTCGTCATCCCTTCAAAGACAAAGAGCATGACGAGCATCATAAAGGCGAAGATCGGCATGTCGTCCAGCATCCACAAAACACTACAAAAGACTTGGAATGCAAAAAAGGGTTGGACTATTTGTTCTTTATACAACTCCATGAAACTTGGAATAGGAATCGTGCACTTATTAAGTCCGTAGTATTCATTCTTTTCTTCCGCAACGGCAGAGGTCAGACTTTGTGACATGGTGTACTCCTTCAGCATGTTCTTGTTTGGGTACTCGAGGGGGAAGAATGCGTTCTTCGTTGGGTTGTAGATGTATTTCTTGAAGCTAAAGAAGACGGAAATGCTCTGTTCTGTTTTGATTAATGTGGTCAAACAGTTCTCCGTCTTCGTTTTGTAGTACGCGTGAGTCGCTTGGTCGACTGTAGCGACTGGATTGTAGTTGATTCGGATATTAAATTTGGTTGACCATTCCGTGTTGAGGTACAAGAGGACATGGAAGACTAATACAACAAACAACAGAACAATGGACGCCGTCGAAAATGTTGATTCAATATAGATACCAACAGCAGCTGCTAAGACATACAAAGAAGCAAAAGGGTATCCTATTATAGTCTGTTTAGGATCTTTTTTAGTGTATAACAATGGTTTGATCCCCTCGTACTCTGACATGGCCTTTGTGGTTTTTTTAGTTTTTTTATCTAATTTTTATTATTAAAATTTAGTATTACAAAGTCTTATTAATTTAATTAATTTAATTAATAAATTAGAATTACACACTAAATAATCTTTGAAGAGAACGAAAGTATTTGGTGACGTTTTTTTATTCACATTTTTTAAAGTTGTATTATATTCAATAATAAATTAATTATAATATATAATACAAATAACAATAAAATGATGCAATTATATTTTCAAGTGGTTTTGGGTAATATTTAAAATGTCATCAATATTATCGATAATATAAGTTTATTTCAATAGTATACTATATAAAGAATATTTAAAATGAATACGATGTAATAAATAAAAATAATCTTAAACAATAAGCAGAACAATACATTCTTATTATTATAAATTTCTTTAAGTTCATCAAAAAAATTATTTTAAGTTGAAATAAATAAAATTAAGTTAAACAAGAATAGTAAATAATATTAAATAAAAATAATAAGAAACAATCAATTTGTTAGTGATTAGATTGAGATAAATCAGAACGAATAGCTGGCAAAAAAAAATTTTGATTTCAATGAAAAGTCGAGATTGCCCAAATGAGTTGCAAAAAATGCACTTCTTCAAAACAAAGTGATTACTCAATATATAATAATTTGAGATTCATATCACGTCATTAAATACCATGTCGTCTCTTGACACAACACTAAAAGATTTTGTATACCCGTATAAGTACGAGGTTGATAAGACGAGCAAGTATATATGCAAAGAAATGCCTGAAGCACCTTTCGAACAGATTTGGGAGAAGTTAAAAGGTGCTGCTGTGATGACATTAAGTAAGTACGATCCCTCACATATGGACGAGTACAAAAAGATGTTACTCAAAGGAGATTCTTTGTTCAACCCACAGTTCAAACAAATCGTCAGAGACTTCTTTGCGGGATGTTTTGATCAAGGGTCTCCAATGTTCCAGACGATCTTTAGAAACATGGTGGGCAAAGTCATGTGTTACATGCGCTTTAGTACGGAACAAACTCTATATCGCGAAGAACTCGACAAAGTGAAGTTAGACCGACCACTTTTCATCACATCAATGCCACGAAGTGGGTCGACCTTCCTTCACAACTTAATTGCGAATGATCCACGAGCAAATGCTATTCACTTCTTCGAACACGTATCACCAGGAAGTCACACAATGGATCACGACGCTCGAGTCAAAGTGTTACAAGACATGTTAAATGCGTTCCATGACAATTCAACGATTGATATGAATACCGTGCATAACATGGACTCTCCTATGAATTATGAGGAAGAGTTGTTCTTCATGGAGTTGCTTGGACAATGCTTTGTGATGTCATCTTCATTGCCAAGATTAGAACAATACAGGGAACATATATTCAACATTGATTATCACTACGTCTATGAGGCTTTAATAGACGAAATTAAAATGCATATCGTCGAATATCCAATGCAAAGATCAGATGGATTCATGTGTCTAAAGGCAGTCTGCCACTTCGCTTCTATGGCACCAATGCTCGACGTTTTGGGAGATGAAAAGTACAACGCCAATTTCGTCTGGATCCACAGAGAACCACTGGAACAAATCAAGTCACTGATCCCATTGTTACTTGGCGCTCAAGGAAGATTCGAACACGATTTAGGAAGAAATGATATCGAGTGGATTAACAAATATGTCCTCAAGATCAACGAAATTATATTACGAAACATCATAGCAACACGAGACGAGTGGATTAAGAAAGACCCAAAGAGAGCAGATCGTATCATCGACGTTGGCTTCGTCGACTTGGTTTCGCACCCCAAAGAAACAGTGGAGAAAATCTATAAGAAATTTGGAATCGACTACACGGAGGAAGTCGACAAGATCCTTGATATCACTATCAATGAAAAAGATCCACAGAGAAAACACGGAAGAAAGCAACACGACCAGAACTTATACCTTTTCAAAGACGATGATGTCAGAGAACAGTTCAAGTTCTATTACGAGAGATTCGGTGCATACCTTCCAAAGTATTATGAGCAGAAGTAAATAACTCGTCTTACATTCAATTGAGTTTCAGAACTATTGTTATATTACATTTTTATTATAAAATTTAAACTATATATTTTTTAATATATTATAATTATAATTATTATATTATTATATTATACAAACCACTCTTTTACTATAATAAACTATATTATAAATTATACTGCCGTTAAAAACACAATTTGGAGGAAATCCCGATTTCATAGGGAAAAACAAAATGGAGGTCAAGAGTGAGGAATAGTAAAAGATATAATAAAGGAGTTAATAAGTTTAAGTAAGAGAAGAGAGAGAAGGAGAGAAACTCAAAAAGTAGAGAACCCTAAAGGATGTCTGGTGTCACCATCTCATTGAAATCGACCTTGAACGGGCACAAAGGTGCTGTTACTACACTTGCGACCTCGACTGCGAGACCAGACTTATTGGTGAGTGGATCTCGTGACAAGACACTTCTTGTCTGGAACGTCGACACAACAAGCGAGGCACAACCAGAGAGCATTACCCCACAGAGATCTCTTCATGGCCATTCCCACTTCATTAGTGACTTAGTTCTTTCTTCCGATGGAAAGTTTGCTATTACCTCCTCATGGGATCAATCTTTGAGACTTTGGGATTTGGAGAAGTTCGAGTCGACCAAGCGCTTTGTCGGCCACGAGGGTGATGTCTTGTCCGTTGCTTTCTCTCAAGACAACACTAAGATCATTTCTGGTTCCCGCGACAAGACCATCAGATTATGGAACACCTTAGGCAAGTGCATTGCTACTGTGAAGAATGACAGCCACACCGAATGGGTCTCATGCGTCAGATTCGTTCCAAATTCAAAGGGAAACAAAATCGTTTCCGGTGGATGGGATAAGTTGGTGAAGACCTGGACCTTGGATCAGACTTGCAAGTTGGAGTCGACCATCACTCATCACAATGGCTTCATCAATACCATTGCTTTCTCACCAGACGGATCTATTATGGCTACTGCGGGTAAAGACGGTGTCATTGCTATGTGGTCGTTGAACAATGGAACTGGCCTCTATGAGTTCTTATATGACATCCAAGTCGGTTGCATCATCTACCAACTCGTCTTCGCTGAAAACCCAGAACACTACACTCTCATCGCTGCTACTGAACAGGGCGTCGCCGTCGTTAAGGACAAGGATATCATCTCCTTCCAGAAGACTTCAATTGCTTACTCCGTCACTTTGTCTGCTACTAGAGACACTTTCTTCACCGGACACGCAGACAACTCTATTAAAATGTGGAAGATCACTACTAAGGCAAATTGATCGCTTTTATTGACTCCTTCGGTTCGTTTGACACACTATTTTTATCGGAAAGCCTAGACCTAGTTTTCCTCCCTTTTTTCACTTAATATGTTCTCATCTGACCGATATATTATTATAGTATATTTATAGTTAAATTATAAATTGAGTATAGTAAAAAGGAACATAGTCTTAAGAGTCACATTATTGTTGCTCGTCTTCGTTTACATCGTCGTTTACATCGTTCTCCTCTTCGACCTCTTCGTTGGAATCTTCGTCGTAATTATCTTCGTCGCGGCCGTAGTCTGTCGTGGTGAAGTATTCCGATTGTGCCTCGTCGCGGGGGATGACAATGTTTTTCACGTATTCCATGAACTCGTTATCGTCGATTATAATTCTCTCGACCTCTCCGATGTCACTCTCTTCCTCAGGAACCATCTCATATAAGTTCTTCATTATAGAAGCTGCAACTAACCAATAGTCTGGCCCTATGTTCTTCTCTGCTTGAATTGCAACAGACTCTTTGTCCTTCTCAACTAACAGCTTCAAAAACTTTCCATCGTCTAATAAGGAAATAAGCACTTTCGAAACTTTAGAAGAGATCACTGCGGATATCGCCATTAAGACACTTTGTCGGACAATTGTGGACATATGATCCCCATATAATAACTCCACTAATAATTTCATGGTGTTGGACGCGACGATTGCATCGATGATGGTGTCAAAGCCGGAGAGGACAAGAGACAACACGACGTATAATAAGTTGTTAATGACACATGATGTATTCTTCTCAGTTAATGCTTTTTAAATAGTATTAAATAGTATAACATACTACTCTTCAATAATAAATACGAATGAAGAGTCAAACAATGCAAGAACAAACTTTCAAATGGAAGATATCGGGGAACTTGTTAATTTGAGTCAAAACGGACTTGAAAATTCCGGGTAAATTGTTCTGGTCTGGATAGACTAAGAAGGTTGAGCACGCGAGGATGTTAGAGACGTCACGTAAGATATGTTCCACGACAAAATAGTCCTTTGACACAAAGGCGAACTCAACAAAACTCTGTAAGAATTCGTTTTGGTTGAGTAACGAGAGAAATTTGATAGCTTTGCTATTAGTATACGATACTTTCCATACCACTATATTATGTATGAAGGTTGAGATGTTGGTGATGGTATCCAGATCAGTACTATTCATCATTGTCTGAAGAATGTTTTTGATGAAGCCGAACTTACAGATGTACTCAATGACACCAGAGTACTTATCATCGTTCTCTAAATGCATGAACTGGAAGATAGAGTCTAAGAATCCCGGGACATCATAATTCTCCATGATCGTTTTGATGATAGTCTCGTCCTCAGTGAATCTCTTATATACCAAATAATTGTCGGAAGAGATGACCGAAGACAAAACAAGACCCGCAGCTCCCATTTTTGTTTTGTTCTCGGACGCTATCGCAGCAAAGACATAGTCAACTAACTCTTGAGTCGACCCAATGACCTCAGACAACTGCGAAGGCTCCGCAAAGATAGACACACAGACTAAATGGAACTTATTGCTCAGACTTTGGTCGACGTCTTTTGGGTAATCGTACATCGTGTATTGTAATATCCTCTTAATAATGGCGGGTTCTTTACAAAACTCGACAAGAGAGCTGTTCGACTGGAACTCTTGTGGGAAGTCCTCGCACTCGAGAAGTTCTTCTAAAGTGCATTCGGATTTACTGAGTAACAAATCTATAGGAGATTGAAGTGGGGGGTAAAGTAATGAGTCGGCCCAATTCATTTCTACTTATCAGTCCATCGTTTTTGTATATCGTGACTAAAACAAACACTTTTGCTTTTCCAGAAAATTCAGTTCTTCTTTTCCTCGAATACCTGTTGCTCGACTTTTTTGTTTTTCTTTAATCATTCCCCACATTCATTACCTGTTCCATCAAAAAACACGTAGAAAAACGGGATTAGTACCTCTTTTACTACGAAACAGTTTCAAGGAAGTCGGCTTTAAGTATTGTATTATTTGTACATAGCTTTATTATAGTTAAATCAAACTATATCACTTAAACTCTTTTGTACTTCAAAATGTACTAAATGTATAATAAAATGTATCATATGTGTTTATTAGATAGGATGTAAATTAAAAACTATATATAGTATTTATATACTATATATAGTTTTTTTAAAGTAGATAAAGCAAAACTTTTAATCCAAAAGATACACTGATATGCCAATTTGCTAACGATTAGGACAAGACAAAGAACGTGCACGACACAAAATTAGAAGTTGAAATTTTGTTAAAATTTGGTAATTTAACGAAAAGTTGAGTTTTTCTCAATAAAAAAAAGTGAAACTTAAATTGGACACAATAACTGACATGAACGGAAATATGATTCGACTTGCAGGAGAGGAATGCAGAGAATGCATTATTCATGATAGCATTGTTGACGGAGAGGGACTGAGAACCACAGTGTTCACACAGGGGTGTCTGCGTAAGTGCCCGAATTGTCATAATCCCAAAACACATGCTCTCGATGGTGGGAAGTTGTACGACATTGAAGATATTTGTAATGAGATAGGAAAGTGTGGAGGACAGTCTGGTATAACAATTTCTGGTGGTGAGCCTATGCTCCAAGCTAAGGAGTGCATCAAGTTGGCAAAATACACAAAGGATGTATTACACCAAAACGTGTGGTGTTACACTGGCTACACGTACGACGAGTTGATTGAGAAAGGAACCGACGACCAAAAGGAACTTCTCAAACATATTGATGTTTTAGTCGACGGACCGTACATCGAAGCGAAAAGAAACTTGGAACTACTATTTAGAGGAAGTGACAATCAGAGGATCTTACGTCTGAAGGATGGAAAAGTGGTTTCGATCGACAAGGATACAAACTACTCTTCTTTTGAATAATTATTATTTTCATAATTCCTCTTTTTTTTTCCTTCTTTTTTTCGTTCATTCTGCATATCTCATCACATCCCTTTTTTCCACAATCTCTTTCTTAGAAAAATGTCAAATAAAATTAAAAAATGAAACGAAACGTTAAATATGAATCAAAAAGCTACACAAATTTTTACAATAAAATGTGTCAATTGAAAGCGAAATGTCGAAGATTAAAAACACAACAATTAACTCTAGTTTTAAAAGTATATTGAAAATGAGATATGATTTTATTCCCAAGATTGCAAAGCCAGAATAAAGGCAAATTTGGGCAAAAAAAACATAAGAGAAACAATGAGAAAATGACTGCTCTAAGCGGTCAATGTACACAAGACACCTCTTCAAATAGTAGCAGCAGCAACTCTGGGAGGTGGCAGACGGTTACCTTTTCTCTTGTGTTGTTGAAAATGAGCCTCAAACGTATTTCGCATAGTTTAAGACAAAAATGGAAGAAACTGAGAATTACTAAACGAATGTTCCTGAGCAGGCCAAACACAGAACAACGCGAAGAGATTCTGATCGATGCCGTCAGAAACAAGAGAGCTGAGTGGGTGCTGAAAGAACTCGAGAAGTCCACGGACAACGAATGGATCAAACACTCACTGAAAGGGTTCAAACTCCTTCAGGCCGCAGTTGTGAACGGGTTTGTCGGACTGACGACGTACATACTCGACACATTTCCAGAAAGGCTCAACTTTCAAGACCTCTATGGAAAGTCGGTGTTGTTCTATGCAGTCGAGAAACAGCAGTGGGATGTCGTTGAGTACTTGATGACAAAGTCGATCAATTATAACTTGGTCGAAAAACATGGAAATACAGTGTTGCACATCGTTGCGGCGCAAAAAATGCCGAAAGAGAAAAGCACAACGCAATTGGAGCTCGTAAAACGGCTCGTTTCGAGGAGGGTTGTTGTGAATGCACGGAACGACTTGGGAGAAACACCATTGCACATAGCGTGCCTCTATGCGAATAAAAGTCTCGTTGAGACGTTGTTGAGCCATAAGGCAAAAGTAGAAGTCGAGAGTTGGAAAGGAATGACGCCATATGAATACTCATTGTATTCTGATCAAATTGTTGTTGATTTGTCGCAAATGAGCGACGAGGACGTGTCGAGCAAGGGAAGCCCAAGCGATTTGGAACTGCCAAAAGACTCGCCTGACGTGAGCAGCGAACATTCTGACCCTAGTACATGCGAAAAAAAGAGAGTTGTCATGAATAAGGACAATGTTGGGGTTATTAGACAAAATTTGTCACCATCGTTATTCAAAAGGGACTACTCCCCACGTTTCCGTAAACACGAAAAACAGCGTTCACTCGACTCTCTCGATGAGTCTAAAATCATGACAGCTAGTAAAGGCTCGACTAAGTTGGTCAACGGCAATTTCTCGCCAGACGATGTTAAATTTGTGAAATACCGAAAATACGGAATCGACGAGGAGCGGTACAAAAAGCTCGAACAAACAGCCATTGAGATGGGAAAGAATATGAACAAACCGAAAATGCTACCACCTCGCCCGGAATACACCAAGGGGAAGAAGTTTAGAGTACTGTCTCTTGACGGCGGAGGAGTCAAGTGCGTTTATCAGTGCGCAGTCCTTAAAAAAATCAGCGAAAAGTTCCCCAATTTTTTCAATGAAATCGATTTGATCACGGGGGTTAGTGCAAGTTCCCTTCCTTGTGCTGCCATTTGTCTTGGGCTTGATCTCGAAACGACGCAAAAAATGATGGAAGCGATGTTGTACGAAACTTTCACAAGAGAAATCCACAAAGCAGGAATTGCAGGGCACCAATACTCGAATAAGTTTCTCTTTGTGATGGGGGACCAGGTATTTGGTAATTTGAAACTGGAAGATGTGACCAAAAAAATGTGTATCCCATCGTTTCTGATTGACACGGGAAAAAACTCTGAAGAGAGGGAGTCTAAAATAATGGCGTACAACAACTTCGATGGCAGTGAAGTGCCGTACTCTCTCACAGAGGTGTGTATCGAATCTGCAGCAGCTCCGGGGTACTTTGGGTCGGTCGACGGACATCTTGATGGTGGAGTAATCATGAACGAACCATGTGGGATTGTCATGCCAATGATCCTTGGGGAGTACGGACTCAACGTAGACAAGGACGATCTTGTCATTCTTTCTCTTGGGGCTGGCTATCCAGCGGCGCCTTACATTCCACTCGAAAACGTTTTTGATGCCGGGGTTGTCAAGTGGATGCCACACATGCCCGATTTGCATATCGAAAGTCGTAAGTTCTTTGTGGAGCTTGAGGCGAAACTCATGTTGGGTGATCGGTTCTTCCGACTCAACCCAAAGTTGCCACATTATGTCGACTTGGACGATTGCAAAGATATGGAACTCATCAAAGAGATGGGAAACTCGGTTGACATGACGGAAACGTTCGCATGGCTTGAGAGAAACTGGTAATCGAGTGTTTAGATTTGTTTGCATCTTTAGTTCGCATATGACAGCAATTAGCTGTCTCCTATCTAAAAAAAAACATCATTGAACTATACTGAATAGTTGTTGGTTAGTTCAAAAAATTTGCTTAATTTTTTAAAAAGCAGTTTTTTATCCTTGTAGATTGGCAGAAAGTCGGGAAAATATAAATAATAGTTATATCTATAACCAATTATTATATTTTTAATAAATTATGAGTTTTAATTAATTGTTAAAATTAGAAAAATACTTTTTGCAACAAAATAAACAAATTTTAGCAAATTGTATCGAAATAGGAGATATTTTACATCAAACGTTTTTCATAGAAATGTTTGATAAAAATTATTTTAATATTTGTTATTAAATTATTAGTTAAAGTTTAATATAATATAGTTTTGTAAATAGTAAATTATTACAATTAAAAAAATACAAATTTAAATCAAATAGCCAAGATCAAGTTTTTTTCCAAAATAAATATCATAATGTTATAAAAAAAATGTTATTAAATAATAATGATATTAAATTAACTATTTTATTTAAGTTTAAAATACTATAATAGTATAATAACATAAATGATTCGTAATACAATCAAATTATAGAAGTTTAAATTAAAATGATCAAAACGATTATTTTAAAAATACAATACATTGTAATATATTAATAATAAAACAACTATATAAATAAATTAAATATAATTACAATTGATACTCAAACAATACAAAGAAATAGATAAATAGTGATACACATAAACAAGAAATTAATCCAAAAGAGTGTCCTATCCGTCACAACAATTATACACAAAAAGGTTAGGCGCCACTCTGAAGGCATTTATTTTAAAACAAGAACATCCCATATGTGAAATTAAGGATTTCGATTTTTTGCTCTATAGCATCATTCCACATAAATTTGCTTTTACACTCTTTGACTGCTATTTTCAGCTGAGGGTCAGTATTTCCTTTTATAATGGCAGTTAAATAATACTCGAATTCATCACAGATCACTGGCTGAATAACATTAAAATCGGCTTCCAGTAATTTTAACCATTGGACGTATCCCGTCTCTTTAGTCCGTGCAAACACAAAGACGTTTTCTATTACAAGTCCAAGAAAAAATGCGAATATTTTGAGTGTAAATTTCAAATTGCCGCACTTGTGAGTGAGTTCCATTAATTTTCCGATGATTCCCCAGTCTTCCACGTTCACACCAAACAAAGAGTTCTTCACGTTATTTAATTCTTGTTTATGAATAACAAACAAACACAAAAATTGTCATCAAAGCCGAGTGTCAATAATGTTTCAGCAATATTCTTTGTTAAAAAGACACGCGTTCCTTCCACAAAATGTTGTTCAAGAATCTCTTCAAAGGTTATATTTGTACTCTCACACATTTGAAACGCTGACATCCGTGATACCCCCCTCGTCACTTCAGGTCCTTCAATCGAGTCTGTGTCTAAAGGGGATACTATTTGTCCTTGTAAAGTACTAGGACTCGTCTGCTCGACTCCACATTTCTTCTTCTTTTTAGTCGACTCTTTCGACATGATCAAATTGATTTCATCTTCGACTGATGACGTGTCAGATGCCATTTTCTTTCGTATGAGAAGATTGATGTCCTTTTCAATCATAGTGAAATGAACCCATTTTGTTGTTAAGTTGTTGAAGTCGACAAGGAAGATATCAGTGAGAGCAGAATGCTTACGAGACCCACTCTTGGTCGCTTCATCATGACACTTCCCATAACACAAAAGTTGTCCTTTACCTACAGATTTCACAAACACCTCTTGCTTGATTGCTCGCATATCTTCTTGAAGAAAGACAGTACGCCGCTGCATTGTTGTGTCCTTCCAGAGAATGTACTGGTATAGCTTCTTCATACTTGACATCTCTACCTTTTGATTTTGAAGATATGTACATCAAGAAGCTGTACTGGTTATATCAGCTTTCATACATGTACTTTTTACTCGTGTTTTTTTTTGCACCAGTTTCAAGAGAATTAAATCTTGGTTTGAATAATATCTTTTTCTTTACGTATTATAAATGTTATGCCAAACATACTGCATTTAGACCTTTTTGTTTCTTATTGTATCGATTATTCAAAACATGAAGTGGAATAAAATAAATTTTATCGATATGGTCAAATACAGAATAAAATGCTTAAGAGTGAACAAAGAATCATTATACAGACTTGAAAATGCCAACTTGAAAAACTTGGGCAAAAAGACAAATTTTATAATTATAGTTATTAACAATTATGACAATATGATTTGTTTTGTTATATTCGACCCTAAGATATACTGATGAAAAAAATAACCTGAAATTGTCTATAACATTTTTGGGGCTATTTTTTATTTTTAATTAATTATTGTTATTTGGACATTAATGTTAATGAGTTGTTTAATAACAAGATTTTTCTATTATGATTATTATATTTAGATATAAAAGCGGTCTTTTCCCTTATCAAACAACTCCAAATTTCTTTAGTTCAAAGATATTTTGCTTTGTTTTTTTATTTGAAATTTCTATTCGTTATTTTTAGTATAACATTTTTAATAAAATGTTTATTTGACGTTGTCTGAAACTGGACATTCATTATAATGTCCAGTCCTTTATGATTCTTTAAACAAATAAGTGATATTAGGTTGATTATTAATTCGTTTGATTGTTTCAATTTTAATCAAGAATTAGTTGGTTCGTTAATATTGTGTGGATATAGATAATAGAAAAAATGTAAAAAACAAAGAACAAAACAGCTCAAATTATATTGACAAGTGGGTGACTATTTAACCCCAACATGTGGTATAATAACAACAAAACCATGTTTTAAAAATAGAACAAAACGGTATCTTCTGGTGGTTTTGTTCAATAGTTTTCAACCATCTTTTTAATAAAAAAATAAGTATAGTTTTTAATAAAAAATATCATAATTAAACTATAATACAAAATTGGTTATACTGAAAGTGTTGGATAATGATCATCATTAAAATGATACGAAGAGAGTTTATACAATTTAAATTATATGTACTCAAAAATGTATTTGTTCAACAGATAATGTTTATCCTTATTTTATCATTAATATTGGATGTCTCTTCATACAATTGTAGTTATGGGTGCGAGCAAGACAATTGTATATTAGACAATGTTTGTATGTTATGTAAAAATGGATTTCAACAAGATACTTCGTGTACAGATTGTAAAGGATTTAATTTTTCTGAAAGTATTTCAGAGACAAATCCACTTTATGTTAAATTATCTCAAAGTTGTACCAAAGTTGATTCTTCGTTAGTTGTTAATAAAACAGCAAATAAAGATATTTCAAAATTAATAACAACTGACACCATTTTAACACTTACTTTTGATGAAAGTACAATGTTTGATTATGGTCCTTGCTATAGAGAAGAACACAATACAAACGATAAGTATAAAAGAGGACATTGGATACGTTTTGAATTTGAAGATACCATTGAAGATACAAAAACAATTGAATTGTTTTTTAATTTTAAGACTGAAAAGAAAAGTGAATTGCACATCGATTGTGGAGACATTGACCATAACACTTTAAAATTGGTCTGTTTAGCCAAAGATGTTATATCAGAATCAAAGAAAGTGACATATCCACTTATTAAATACAGAAAGACTGGAACCAAATATGTCATCTACTTTTATGTTTATGTGAATGATGCAACTAACTTTGAAGTTGACATTTCAGCTCAATTTTTAAGTAACTGGAAACCTGAAATCACCAAATCTGTTTACGATTCAGACTTGAAATTTTTTGATCGAGCAGAAACAATGGTATTCAATGTATATCGAAATGGTTATAACATTTATCCAACATGTTATCCTCATAAACTCTCAAAAGCAATTTTCTTTGAGGTCTTTCTAACTTCTGAAGAGTGGATTTTGATATATTCAAATCGAGAGGGTGGGTATCGATTTCTTCAAGAAGTAGATGAATTCAATTATTCAAAATGTGTTGGCCTTTGGGAACCATTAAAATTTAAACATCAAAAAACTTTGAGAGTTGGTTCTATTCATGGGTATGTCCAAAAAGGTACAACCAGACGTTTGTATGCCGTTTTTAGTGATGACAAGAAAGAATACATCAATTTAAAAATATCAAAACTATGTCCTGATGGATGCAATAGTAACACGGGTAACGGGTATTGTTCATTTCTTCGTCAACAGTGCGTATGTAATGATGGATTTGGAGGTGATAATTGCATCAAAAAGTGCTATCACAACTTTACTTGGCAAGAGGGTATAGATCATTCAAATTTGTGTTATTATGGTTCTGAAGGATGCAATTCAATGTGTACATGCGAAGAAGGATACACATTGGACAACAATTTATGTGTTTCAGCACATTGTCTTAACAGTGAAATAGATACAACAAAAGAATGTTTCAGAAACAGCGAAGGGTGTTCTTCTTCTTGTAAATGTATTGCGTCGAAAGGGTATGTCTTTGGGAAAGATGGCTATTGTAAAGTGAAAACATGTGGTAATGGATTAAAAGAAATGTTTGTTAATGATTTTGGGGAAACAATAAGTGAAGAATGTGATTCAGTGAATCATTGTGATGAACTGTGTCGATGTGAGAATGGGTATATTGGAGATATGGAAGGTAAATGTGTAATTAATTACTCAAAGAATTACGAATTTATTTTTGGATTAACTGGGTCACTTGCTGGGTTGTTTTTAGTATGTTTATCTATTATAGGAATGACTCTCATTATTATCAACAACATCCAAAAAGGTCGTAAATTCAGTGACCTCCAAACAAAGGAGTATTACCATTATATACAAGGAAGTAAGAAAAATAGTTTATTAATAGAAAAGAAATTCACAATTCATCCAAATGAGTTGGACTTTGGCAATGATGAGAATGCAACTGAAATTTTCGAGACGAGGTTTGAAAAAATAGAAATAAGAAATTATTCAAAGAAGAAACATATGATGGTCATTTTCCATGTTCCACAAACCCCAAAATACTCGATAGTGTTTAACAAACAAGTTGTATTTATATCAGCGCTCAAGAAGCGTACAACAATCACATGTTTTTTGACATTGAATTGTTCAACAAAAATCTATGGTACTAAAATACCTTATACAGTCTGGTTTTCTTATTCTTCAATTGCTCTCAAAAGTATTCAAAAGCTTCTTGAAGATAAAACGTTTGAAACCTGGACAAAAGAAGATCAAGATAGATTCGATACCATTGAAAGTTTGATTGAGTCGCGTTACAACGGCTCTTTAGAAATACAGACTTCTGCTGTCAATTCAACTCATTTGGATTTGGATGAGATTCGAATGAGTGAAGATGTTATAGCTGAAGGTGCAAGTGGGAAAATACACCTTGGAATGTTTAAAGGAATTCCAGTCGCTGTGAAGAAATTCAATTGGAAAGGACTTCCAGAAGACGAAATATTACGACTGAAATTAAGTGTTTTGAAAGAATGTGAAGTGATGAACAAATTAAGAAATCCATTTGTTGTGAATTACATAGGATCTGTGACATACACTGAAGATATTATCATCGTGAGTCAATACTTTACTTTGGGTAGTTTAGCTCAATATATTAATAAAACCAAAAAGAGGAATTTTTCATTATGTGATATAACAAAGATGAAGATGTTACTTGACACATCAAGAGGGATGCGATTTCTCCATGAAAATAAGATACTTCATTTGGACTTGAAACCGGATAATTTGTTGGTGAATTCTTTATTTCCAGACAGTGCTTGTTGCATCAAAATCACTGACTTTGGCACGTCACGAACAATCAAATGTACAAGGTGTACAAACAATCAAGAAAAGGGTTTAGGCACTCCACTTTATCTTGCACCAGAAAGTTTCAAAGATGTGTATAGTCAGTCAAGTGATGTCTTTTCCTTTGCAGTAACTGCTTGGGAAGTATTTCATGAAGAAAGTCCTTACGAACAAATGAATTCGATCTTTGCTATCAAGTCGTTTGTTATAAATGGAGGGCGTTTAGAAATTGATTCCGAAAGGGTGACTCCTGCGCTAAAGACTCTAATAACTCGATGTTGGAGTAACGAACCCGACCAACGTCCTGGCTTTCATTATATTGCTCAAATTCTTTCTCAAGAAACAGATGTTTTACTTTCAGACCACGCCACTGCCAATAACACAGACATAGAGACTTTTGTTTCTCAAAAGAATCAGCTTTTATCCGAGACACTAGTTTATTTAGAAGAGTGATCAAAGACTCTATTTTATGTCATCTATCTATTTTTAGTTATGTTCTATTTCTATATAGTTTATTTTAATAACAATGTTCTAATAACTAATTCAACAAAAATATGAAGTTGAATACCTTAGTCTTCCTCCTCTACATCTTGTGACGTCGACTCTTCGTCCTCCGCCTCTGCGAGTTCTTCTTCTTTGCACACCACACATGGCTATTAATGAATTCTCTTCATACAAATTAAAATACACCAAATACAAACGTCTCTCTTGACGGTGCAGAATCCTCCGTCCTTCTCGATCTCTTCTTTGATCCGTGCGATGACCTCATACATCACTTCGATACCCTTTTGTCTATCAGTCATTGACAAGTGCATCCCATATAGTGGCGACGAGACCAATTTAATGACCAACCCACTCTCCGGGGCAACAGTCAACCCTTTCATTAATGCATTTTTAACGGCAGAAACACCCGCTTTCGCATAGCAAGTGACTTCGATATCTGCTCTGAATTTGAGTGGTTGAATCGTGAAGTAATGGGCTATCACCCCTTTCAACGCTTCCAAAGTCTTTTCGTCGATGTTATAGGGCTTAAAGATATCGGGATCCGTTAAACTCTTCTTAAAAGCGTCATGAAGAGATCCGTGTTCTTTCGCCAAAGGCCATCCAAATTGTTTATACAAGTCTTCCATTGAGACGTTCATCTTTTGTGCTACAAGTCGAATCACAAGATGTGCTTCTTTGTCCTTCGCGTACTTCGTTAGAAACGCAGACTTGGCTTCCGGAGTGGTTCGCTTCAGTGACAAGTCGATAAACCCGCCCTCAGAATTGACGCGAATGACCGTCGCAACTTCCTCTTTCCCTACTCGCGCAATTCGTGTTTGTGTGAACCGACGTCGCGAGTGCTCCGACATAGGAATCATCCCTTGAATGTCGTCATATTCTTTCAATGCAACATATGTCCCCATCCCATTCGAACTCACTACAGTCACCAAACACAAATCGTCCTCGCTTGGAAAGGCTTTCTCGTGCATACGGCAATGAAACATAGGGTTCTCGTGATCAGGCACACTCATCTGAATTTTCAAGTTTCCTGTGTTCCACCATTTTCTAAATTCTTATTCAAATGACCTTTAACGTCTAGTCCAATCTGTTTAAAATTCCGTTCAAACTGATTGGTGGAGGGTTTCCTCTTATTGAAGCAAATCGACTCTTCAAGACAAACACACATTTTAACTATAAAATATAGTAAATTAATAATAAACTAATAGTAAAAAATCAGTCTGTTTTTACTTCCTTTTGAGTCTTGTTACCGAAATTAGGGTTTCTGTCGGGCTCGTTGATGTACTGAGCGTCGTTGTCGGTGCTCTTGTCGGTCACTTTCATAGAGAAGTCCAAGTCACCCATAGCCATATTGCTCTTCTTATCGACGATGATATAACAAAGAGCGTGGAAGATAGTTAAGAGTGATATAAAGAAGAGAAGCCCGATAGTGACATAGAACAAGTCATCTTTGCAGTAAATGTGTTTCTTTTGAGTCTTAAAAGTCGAGACGATGAAACTTTGACAGAAGGCGTGGGCGTTGTAAGCGTGGATGTATAAATAGATGGAGACAAACATCACGATCTGCCCGAAGACTAATTGAATGTACTTTAACTTCGTCGTGATCAAATAGGATATCAAACAAAAAACAGTGGAGAGCCCTACAGTCGTTTGAACATATATCATGTCATTCACACTGAATCCACATTGCGTGTAATTGTTATCGACTTTATACCGAAATGGCCGAATCGTATCACATCGAATATAATCCCCTGTCCCCTAAACTATTAATTCTTGTTATACTATATCTACTACTAATATACTATAAAAGTGCCCGTAATTAATTAATTAATTAGTAATTAATTATTCAGTAACAAACATATTCAGTAGACTCACTGTTGGTCCGCTTCAACACAAAGGCAGACAAAACAAGCAATGGAATTATCACTAATGTATCTACCCGCATTTTATTCGGTATTTATCAGTTCACTTTTCTTGTAAAGAAGTTATTTGTTACTTCTCAGTGTCCATTGTATTCATATTAAGTATAGTTCTTTTATTGGTTTATTTAACCATCGATCATACTAGATTAGTATAGTACTATTATATTATTAAATAATAAATCAAAAAGTGGTGTAATTTATTTTAAATTATAATAGAATTATTTTCTATTTCAAATTATTTTTGAATCTAGTATATTAATAATAAATTTAATTATATACTTATGAATATATTTAATTTGTCCAGAAATGTATTGCTTATTGTGTGTTTTTGAAATTTTCTGATTATTTCTTACAATAACAATCACTTTTTACTTATTATAGATATAACCCGAAATTTCCGAGATTTAAAGGCAAAATTATCAGTTCATAATTTAGACGGAGCAGGAAAGAGCTGACAACGAAAAAACACAAGTAATTGGTCACAAGAGTGCGACTTTGCCAACGACTGAAGAAATTGTTTTGTTTGTTAAAAGATTGGTGTTTTTTAGTGGTTTTAACACTATTTTTATTTCGAATTATATTACTATGAACAATTGCAAACTTGGTATTATACTTCTGTAAATTCGGGAAATTATACTAAATACAAAAACTAGAAGCAATAATCCAAATCAATTCCCATCAGTTGGATTCTGTTTTCAAAACAAAGAAAATTACAAGCTCTCTTTATTTTTTACAATGCGGTTTTTTCGTCCCAAAAACGATTATTTTACTCGTTATTGTGGTTTTAAAACAAATTAACCATATGTAATAATTTATTTGTTATAAATAAATAACAATTTCATTAAATCAAACTTGGTTGTGCATTTTTGGGATATAATCGGTATATAAAAATATTGAAAATATGCGTCAAAACAAAAAATCAATCTCTCATACAAAATGAAAGATTGCCATTCTTCTTCACAAATTTACGATGTATACAATGATCTTCATTTCTTAAGTGCAGTCGGATCCAAAAAACCGGGGCTTTCTCTAAAACTCAAAATTTTTTATTTGTTTATTTGAATTATAAAAAACTTAAAAGGAGGTTTGATGTGGCAATTTCGTTCTTTTCTTCCCAAAAAAACATTTCACGAAAATGGGTTACGTCCTTTTGCCTAATACTAGCGGGGTACAACATTCATAACAACATCCGTTATAATCGAATCCTTGTTTGTGGTCCTTCTCAAAGCACAAATTCCCAATTGTTTTTTAATCTTTACAAACTAATTGACTGAGCAATGAGAGAAATTGGATTTGTAACAAACAACCAAAGTTCGAAAAAAATTGAAAGGAGTATTTTGGAGAAAAACATACCAAAAAATTACAAAGCAAAAACTTTTTTGATATTGAAAAAAAATTGCATCGGAAATAGAATTTGAAAAGACCCGAAATGGCCGTGATAAGTGACGCTAAAAAAACACAAAAGACTACGAAGAACATTTGGAAAAAAAGAAAAAGGAAATATGTTATTTAAATATATCACGTCGTCACGCTCGACAAATATAGAACAGCAAAAAACCAAATCCAAAAGACAGTCCACTAATTAAAAAACGGCAAGAAAAACAAGTCAACAATTGGATACACATTCCGTTTAAAACCATTTCAAACGGTTCTCTCACGACTTAAATTGGTTCTCCAAAACTCTATTCTCACATGCAACCAACAATTTTCAGACCAGTCACACTCCCTTCTTTCCAACCTTTCAAGACCTTTTTCCCACTCGTCACCACCGTCAACATATCAGACGACAGCTTCGTCGAAGACTCCATCAAACACAAAAAGAAGCGATCAACTTCAGTCGGCGATGAGTGCCAATCATCCCTTTATGCACCAAAACGCGCAGAAAGCGTTGGCGTGAGCCAAAGACAAAAACTCACTAAGGGGAACCTCAACGCAGCCGGGCTTGGCTACATTTCTTCTGACGACAAGAAAGAGCGCGTGTTTTATTGGATCGACACTATCAAAGAGACAGACGTTTATCCCCATCCCTCAACGCTCTAATACCAACACCTTCACACCCTTGTACAGTCTATTGATTCTTATTTGTCTTTTAGCATTATGGTTCTCGTTTTTAACAACAATTTAATTTGTCGTGGAGGGTCTTCAATTCGCATTTCCCTTCCATTTTTTCGTCCCAAATAACTGTTTGTTCCAAAAACGAAATCTCCCCTTCAATTTCATCTACTCTATTTTTGTGTTATTCTTATGGTTTTTTATAATTTAAAATTAATTTCTTTTTTCCCATTTTTAGGTTTTACCAAAAATTTTGGATTTCACGTTTTTTAAATACACAAACTTCCATTCTAAATGTTGTGTTTGTTTTTTTAAAACAATATTTAAATATTTTACAATTTATTAATACAAGTTTTATTTTAATAAATTTTGTTTTTATTATTTACATTTCAAAACAAATTTATCGTAACTATATATTATAACAAATAAATATATAATTTATAGTATATAATTAAAAAAAACAATCACAAATCTTTGATTTTGTATTGATTTGTATTTTTTGGAATAAAAAATCGGAATAATTTGAATGTTTTTTAGCTTATTAGAAATAATGACGAAAAATCAAGTAAAAAACAATTTGATGGACAACAATAAATGTTATAAAAATTATAGTTTAATTTAGATTCAATACCTTAGAATTGGTATTTGCCAGACAATGTTATTTTTTTTATACACAAATCAAAAAAACTTTGTAAAAATTTTGTAAACAAAGGTGTTTATAAACTTCAACAACAAAATGTTATATATAACATAACAATCACTCATCAACCACACTAAAAGCATCGTCGCACACAGACCTAAATGTTTGAATCGCGTCATACCTAAACCAATCATCCAACGTTTTTATTTCCTTTTTGTGTGAGTCTGCCTTGTACTTTGCAAACAGCGCATCCAAATTCTTGTTGATTTCGTCTAACCCGCTTTCCATCTAAATTATCACTTTTTTTATTTTTTTTTATATTTTTTTCAAATTGTATTTGTATAGTAAATAAAACTATTAAAATAAACTATGTTTCTACTTTTTCTCCTTTGCGATTCTGATAATGTTATTTGCCGATACGTTGTACTCTCGTTGAATTAAGCCATCACCTTTGGCAAGGTTGAGTGCCTTTTTCAAGTAGTTTAAAGCAAGTGGATACGACTTCTTCTTGTTAAGAACCACACCAATCCTGTAAAACGCTTTGACGTTGTTTTTGTCAAATTTCAAAACCTCTTCCGACTGCTCTTTAGTCTCATCGAGTCTGTCGAGCTTCAAGAAACACAACGAAAGATTCGAATGGATGAGCGCAAGCTGCTTTTTGATGTCTTCAATGTGCTCCTGATACCTCTTGTCATCGAGCATTGTGTGTAGAATTGCGCAACAGCTCTCATAGACTGATGCAGCGTCTTCAAAGCTCGACGTATCAATGAGTTCTTTCCCTCGACTTTTGAGCTTAAGCACCTGTTCTTTCTGCTCATCGTATGTTTTGAGACGGACCGATTCGCCAATCTCAATCACATCAAAACTAATTGTCACTTTCTCATTTGGGCCAACCTTCTCTTTCACTAAACTTTTTCCAAATATCTCAGAAGCGCTGCCCTCAATCTCGTATTTTCCTTCTAAAAAGGTTCCCTCGACCTTCTCATCAATTATTGATAACACCTCCCCGTTCCCAACATCAAATCTCACAGTATCTTCTTCTCTCATTTTTTCGGCTTGGATGACGTAATGAACTGTAAATAAGAATTTCAATTATGAGTGAGATAAAAAATAAACTTTCAACCGAAGACGCCTTGTCGACAATCTTGTTCGTTTTGTCTTCCTCAATCCGCAAAAACCTCATTGTTTTTTAGTTTTTTCTTTTCAAGTTTTTTAAAACAAACTACAATAAAACTATAATAGTATTAATAATAAACTATAAAAACAGCCACAAATCCATGCAGTTATTCGTGTCACATCTCCCTCTTTTTCGGTGAACTCAGTCTTGGCTCCAAAGAAATTGCCAATTTCGCCGTCGATGATAAACCCCATAGTTTTCTTCAGCCAGAAACCGTAAAAAATCCCAAAGAGATTTTTAGATCCATCTTGAAAATACGTTGGGATTGCATCGGCGGAACGCTTAGGATTGAAAAGGGTTGTTTTTCCACTATCAGAGTATATGAAAAGGCTCTTGTCTCCGTCAAACGTGTCTTGCATAACCTCCTTTGGCATCAAGCTGTGAAAACTCCCAAAAGAACCACTTTTTGTCTCGACATGAATTAAAACATTTTTCTGGTTTTTCGTTTTAGCAAAGAAAACTGATGGGACAATTTTGTCGACTTTAGTGTCGAACAAACATTTTGTTGGGTGGAGATGCGTTCGCTGAAAAACGCATTCGATGACATTTTCGGGTATGACCGATTTTTCTTTTTCGGCGTTGTCTATTTTATCTTCCTTTTTTTCGACTTTTTCGTCTTCATCAATTTTCACAACAAGTTTTTCGTCTTGTGCTTTTTCTTCGATTTTTTCGTCTTTTCTTTCGACTTGTTTTCCCCCCAAAAAACATTGGATTATTTGTTCTTGTAATTTATTATTATCTTTCTCATTCAAGCTCATCATGTTTTGAGTTTGACCGATGATATTCATCAAGCTTTGACTATTTTCATTTCTCATCTCAGCTTCTCCTTCATTGACAATTGCAGGAGCCTTTTCCTCGTTCGTTTGTGGGACATTCTTATAGACGTACAGTCTTAATTCGTTGAGCTCTTTTCTCATTGACTTTACTTCTTCCAGAATTGATCCAAGAATTTCTTTATTATCCATTTAACGATATTTAGTTCATGTAGTTCGATTTCTTTTCGTTCTTTTTTCATATAGTACTTTTTTTTAACAATTATATTATTATTGTATAGTACATAACCCACCCACAAATTACAGCAGTAAATAACCAAACGAGAAGTCTACGGAGTCGAGTTGTTCCATAAACCCGACTTTCTTCTTAACGTCCCAGTCGTTCTTATCTAGTCCCGGGCAAAGCCAGTGGTCTGCCAAGAAGCATTGAGTTCTTTCTTTGTTCTTTGGTTGTACTTTGAAGCTGTAGTGCATCAGTTGTTGAATAAATCCGTTGTTAGGTGCTATCAGTGGGCGGACCTTCATTACGTGGTTATATGCTTCTTCAAAAGTCATCCCGGTTTTAATTAAATAGGCAATGACCAACGTTGCTGATCGGGACACCCCCATTTGGCAATGGACCAACACACTTTTCTCCGTTTTGTCTATGAACGTATTGATCGAATCAAACTGGCTCAACAAATCAGTGTCTTCTAGATCCTCCACACACAACCACTTCCGCGATTTGATACATCCCGGGATCTTTGGCTCAACCTCGATTATAGATACAACTGACTTGATCTTGTACCGCTCTAACAATTCCGCACTCTCAGCTGCCTCGAGGCTACCAAGATATAACTTACTGGGAATGACCTCACTAATTAGCGTCCAGTCTTCCATTGTCCCTTTTCTATTATGAAGTTATTGTTATTTTCTTGCTAAATTAAACTACTATTATTTATAGTTATATTTTACTATAATCAGAGCTTTGTGTGGTATCTATACAGTTATTAAACTAAATGATAAATTTTAATACAGCTTTTTAGTAAACCATAATTTATGACAAAAAAACTATATGATATAATACACTACACATGTAATTAGAGTTACTAGTAAAAAGAACTATACAAACACCAATCAATTCATGAAGAACGGCTTTCTGTGTATGTCTGGGACATCTCCTCGGTCTCTCATTCTCCGATAAGCGGCATTGACCTCTTCAGGCAATAAAGGACCGGCGCCTCCTTTGTCGTCCTCTCTGACTCTTTGTGTCTCTGAGACGAGTTCTGCCAAGAACACTTTACAAACCGCGGACATGACGTGTTGAGTATCTTTTGGAACAACGAGTGTGTCGTCGATGCTTTCCATGACCGACGCGACCTGTTTTCCCTCGAAGAAGATGTCAGCGTTGTCGAGGTAAGCTTTCTTGAAAGTTGGGTCTAACAATTTGAGTTGTTTCTTCTTCTCGACGGCATCCATCTCCTCGTCGAACGTCGAGACGCCGTTCTGGTCGAGAAACGGCTCGATGATTTGCTTTAAAACTTTTAAAGATCTTGTCTCGGTAGACTTCTGTGGCGCATCAGTAGCAGTGCCTTTAAGAAGCTCATCAGGAAAGGCGGCTTCTTCAAAGCCTTCTTCGGTTTTTATGGTATCTTCGTCGTCATCATCTTCTAATGTGTTGTTGTCGTCTTCTTGAAAAGTGTTGTTCGTCTCATCATCCGGAGCATCATCAATGGGTGGGGGGACTTGAACGCTCTGGGAAAATGAGGGAAGAGATGGAATCTTCGCGTTTAAGGATGGGAGTGGCGGCTTCGACATTCTGACACGTCTCAATTTGTGAGTTGCGAGATTGTTGGTTTTTTCTTTTTTTACTCATTTTGTCAATTGTGGTGATGCTGTTTCCCGTTTGTGTGGTTAAAAATATGGCAAAATTAAGATAAAAATCAAATTTATTAAGTCGAAGAAAAATGAAAAGTCGTGATTGTCGCATCGGAAAGAAAGTGCATTTGGGGCGAAAAAAGTGAGAACAAATTGATGGAAGACTTACTTGGTATTGTCAAAGACAGTATCGAAGAAAAGGTGAAACAGGACGTGGACTATTACCACACAAAGAACATTTACCACAACGCGAAGAATGACTTGAAATTCTTGTTGAAAAAGAAGGAGATACTCAGCGAAAACATGTGGAAAAAGGATTATGCAGAGGAATACCAAATGACCTTGACACAGATTGTTGCAAAGAACTTCGAGATCGAAGAGTCGCGCGTCATATTGCACGACATGAAATCGCGGCGAGAGCGGCAGTTATAACAAAAGGTTTTTGTTTTTTTATCTATCTAAAAAATCAGAATGAACACAGAAATACAGGAACCCCTCGACACCTTTTATGGCAAGGAACTTGGGTACACATTGGATATTCCACTTTTCAACACAAGTGGTGATGGAAATATCTCAAAAACACCAAAAGACCCGATGACGCAGATTTACGAAATTGATGTGATGTCGTTATGCGACCTCCAGAAGTTTCAAATCAATTGGGGTTTCTTGGAAAGTCATCACAATGACGTTCTTTCCGCGATCAGAAGTGTTGAAGAGAAGATGTATCAAACCGTCCAAAAAGACTGTCTTTTTGAACCATTCATGTGGCAGCTTTTCTCTCAAAGACCAACTTTCGAGCAATGTTACACCAAATTTTTGGAAGTTTTTGGTGAAAGTTCTGTTGGTTACGTCGTTGAGCTTTGGAAGACTTTCATTTATCTCCACGTCTCGCAGTGATTCCTTTTTTAACTGTTTTTATTCCACTTCATGAAGTCTGATTTTCTTGCATTTATATCAACAATTTGATTCGTTTGTTTAAATGAGTTGTATGTAACTTTTTTAATAATTAATTACTAGTTTATGCTAACTAGTATCATATTATATATTATAATAAAATGTAGTAAATTACAAATAACGGGACGTACACAGAAAAGTGATGAAAAAAACGGGAATTCAATTACACAATGAGGCACTCCTCGACGCCGACGGCATGTCCGATCTGTGTCAGGTATGACTCTTGTCCGTTGCCAGTGGTGTTTTCATAAGCTTTACATGAGTTTGGAGTATTTTCTTGTCCTTGATCATCGCCTATGACTACGTCACTCTCGTTTTGCTCTTCCTGTTGATTTGAGAAATTTTGAAAATTGTCGTGGTGGGAATTTTCGGTGGTGTCCGACTGTTTAGCCACAAAGGAGCTCTCGACAAAGTTTTCGCGGTCTTCTTCGCGCTTTGCTTCTGAGACGTTTTTGCGGCGCGTCTGAGGTTTTTCATCGCCACCGATGGTCTCCCATTCGTCTGTCAGAACTTCGTCGGACGCCTTTGTTGATATCATTGGAGCACTTTTTATTGGTGCGGAATGTGTTTGTGGGATTGTTGATTTTGTAGAGTTCTTTTTCATCATTTCTTTGTAGTCGCGAGCGGCTTGTGAGTTGTATTTTTCTTGAAGCCCCAATTTCTCTGCGCCGTGTTGACGGAGGTAAAGCGCAAATTGGGCATTGCCGCCTGCTTTCATGACTTCGAGTTCGGAGTACTTCCACTCGTCCATGTCGCATGAGCGAACGAATGTGAGGTGAACACCAAGTCCTCTATGAAGTCCCGCACAATTAATGCACAAAAAGATTCCATAAGGCGCAGAAGCCCACGTTGGGTTAGCCGCACCGCACTCGAAACATCTACAATTTTCTCGTTGTTGGCGAAGGTGGTGAAAGACTCTGTCTCTGTCCATAGTACTTGCATAACTCATTCTTTGTGGGGATCAATTGGTTTAGAAATTTCAATTGAGTAGGGTTTCCATTTTTCTCGGTTTTCACAAGCAATTTTTTCTTTGGTATTCTTGAAAGGAAAAGCATACGATTTTCTGTTTGAGTTATACGATGAATATTATACAAAATACCGTCTTTATTAAATAAAAATAATATTTTAGATATTTTAAGTCTATTTGAGAGATAATTTTGTTTCTATTGTCAATCCATATATGTGACGTTTCTAAAATTCAATTACAAAGTGACCCGTCATGCTCTGACAGGGGAAGTGAGTCGATAAAACACAATGTGAATGGGACTGTCGCGGTTTTGTGAAACCCAAAATATTCAAGAACTAATGTGAAGAAGTACAAAAACGATATACCTGAACTATTGACTACTTTATCTGAACAATGATGTATAACCGCAATCCTGTTCCATTTTAAAGCTATTTTGAATGGTACATTATTTTTCAAGAGGACTATGATGTGTCCCATCTCATGAACTATACACGACACTAATAATATGAGTAAAGAGTAAACGGGATGTTCAAATAAGTCAGTCAAGTCCGTTTGAAACAAAACGAAGTGGAAAACCAAAACACAACTAAAGTACTTGGGGATGTGTTGATAAATTTTTAATAGTAAATAGAATAACTCGACGGTATAGCATTTGTTTTCATTTGCTTGAATGGGAATAACAATTTCAATGGGATTGATATAAAGAAAAATCAATGTAAATGTTATACAGAGGACAAGACAGAAAAGTATCACCATTAATACAAAAACGATATTCTTTTTAAAGTTTAATCAGAGTTAGACAAAAAAACTATTTGATCGTTTTTTTATAATATTTTTTACTAATAATAATAGCTCTAAAATAGCTGTTGCCTCACTGTTATTGAATAAGTAAAACTCAACACAAAGAACATGTAACCCTCAACCAAAAATTCAATCCAAGTCTATACATTTGTGTTCGACTTTTGTTATCGTTTTGTTCTCGGCTTTTTCGGTTGGAAACACGTCACCAATATTATTCACCCCGTCATACAAAAACGCTCCACACTCTTTGCTTGTATAAGTCTCTCTTCCTCCTATAACATTGATCACCTCTTGTGCCGCAAGTGATCCCACAATACTATTGACAGGCGCCCAATCAAGTCCAACTCCCAAATACACTCTTTGTATTAATAATATATTAATAATATAATTAATTATAACACTTGTAATAACATTGAAATAACAAATATTAAAATCGAAAAAAAAACATTTTGAATAACAAACTTCAAACACTCCTCACTGGTTTCTAAAACATTTTTGAATAACAAATATTGATTGTATGTGGTCTGTTTGTTGAATTGATCATAATAAAGTCTTTGAACCTCGCGAGCTGGAAGAGGAGGGTACTGACTTACAATACAGTCTTTAATATTTTTGGTGTGTCCATTAACGTTCTTTAAGTAAAATACGCCTGTGTACCCGACACTCCGACAGAACAAAATGGGGTTGCCACATGTTTCAATTTTCGAAATTATTTTCTCCTCTGGCGAAGTTATGACAACCATACTAACTTTGCTCAAGAGGTCTTCTGTGATACCACTCTCATCGATGATTTCAACTTTCAGTTCCGTGTTTACTGAATTCACGTTATTTACACTGTCGACCCTCTACATGTGAAATATACTATACTTTATTAAATAAAAAACTATAAATGTGTAATTTGAAAAAAGAACAAACGTCTTTACCAATAACAGGGGAAAATAAGTGATTTTTGTCGTCTTGTGTGGTGAGCACATTTTGCGACTTAAAAGTGTCACAGACAGTCAACTTCGATACTCCACTAATGACCACATTTTTCAAGATCTCCGACATTAATGCGTCATACCCAATAATGAGTAGATGCGCTGAGAGAATGCGATTCTGGGCGTCGACACCCCACGTCCGAATCGATCGATCATACAACTTGGCAGTCTCTTTATTCATCTCCTTTTATAGTTCGTTATAGTTCTTTTATAATAATTATAGTTTAATTGGTATAGTTAACAAATCTTGAATGAGTGGTATTAATTATTCGGTTCTGCGGTATTCACCTGCGAGATGATGAGGTTTTCCATTGTCCGTTGTCTCTTAAACGGTGTTGTTGTCTCTTTAATTGAAGGTTTTGGTGTTTGTGCGCTACGTATTAGTTATTAAAATAATAGTTTTGATATAGTATATTTTAGTTTTATTAGCAATAGTTTCGTGATTAGTAAAAAACCAATAAAAGAACTATACACGCGAGTAACAGATATATAGTAACACAATAGTAAAACTAACAAACATCATGACCATTTCGTTGAGGTACTTTTCAAGGCCATTTGCTAGGAACTCCATTCTCTTCAAACTTTGATCCATCGTCTCTGCTCGTTTAATTGCCAATAGTGAAGCTTCAGGAGAGTAATCCATCATTGCTTCTAACCCGTTCATCAAATCGTTTGTGAAGTCGAATGACACTTTGGGGTATTCGGTATACAAAGATACTCCGACTATCTCAGGAGCGGCAATCATCCCCTCCGGAACTACGGGAGCAATTTTTGTCTTCGGTTTACTTTGTAAGTTGAGCTTCTTGAAAAAATTGAACATTCACACTTCTCAGATTTTTCTTTGTGTTAAATAACAATTCTTTTAAATCGTTTTTTAATTTAATTATAGTTTTCTTCATACTAGAAACAAATGGTTATATTTACTAGTTTTTATGATATTTTGTTTTCTATTGAATATACTATTCATACTATTACTCAAATAAGAATGAGAAACAAAATGGTCCGTTATAAATGATTTAAGTTGGTTTTTAATTTTAGTATTAATACAAATAAATTAACCAAATTGTTTTAAATAAAGTATTAAAACAAATACCATACAAACTATTGTATCTTAAGTTGATATATATATTTATATTAGAAATATCATATAGTTTATTAATAGTTTCAGTTTAACTCTTTTTGTTTTTGAGAACAAAAGATTGAGAGGGTGTAATGAATGATAAATTGCTAATCACTTATTTAAGTGGGATTGAAGAATTCAATCTTATTTTCTATAGTAAAACGGCAAAATATAATTAATTTAACCGATGGCGGAATGACACAAGATAAAAGAAGAAAAAAATGAAGATAATAAAGACATGTTGACTTACTTTGAAGCTATATTGTTCTGCTTGTTTGTGGTGTGCACGGCAGCTAAAAACAATTGCAGTAGGCTTGAAAAGGCTTATTACTGTCTTGACAGAACCCGATTCGTGTGGTGTTCAGGAAATGGCCATGGAATCGGAATGAAATGCGATGAAGAGACGGTGTGCAAATGTGGGAAGACTGGGTACAACCCATGTGTCTTTACTTTTCAGGAACTTCCGGATTGCACAGGTCTTCCAGGTGATTACATTTCCGACGAGGTATGAGAACAACTCTTTAAATACGAACTTGTTGTTAGTATTTATTTAAAGTTCCAAACTTGAAAAGTCCATTATAATAAACGACTATATTATCTATAATTAGTATTTCTTTATCACAGAAATATTGTTAAGTCGTTTGTAAAACTAAAACAGTTAACTTGTCTGAATAAAAACAAAAAACTCCATACCAAAACTTTAATACCATGTCGCTGAAGCGGATCAAAACTCAGACATTTTACTCCTCGCCAGAGATCAAAAGGCAGGAACTGACTAGTCTGATAGCTTTCTGGGAAAAGCAAAAAACTTTTTCAAATATGTTTAACCAAAAACTGGAAGAACTCTGTGACATTGTAAAGTCGCATTCGACCTATTTAGAGGCAATGACCTTTCAGCAAATCGTTGGATTTAACAGTTTGTTTTCTTCTAATATTACTAGCGAGTATTACTCTAACAATTGACTATTTTATATTATTATATTATTATTATATTATTATTATTATATTATTATTATATTATTATTATTATATTATTATTATTATTATTATATTATTATTATATTATTATGATATTAATTATATTAATGTATTATACTATTACTAATTTATACTATTACTATTTTATAATAATATTATAATAAAAATACTATCATTTTAACTAATATTTACTATTAATGTAACGACAAGAAAAGAGCCATTCAGAAACTTTACTCGAATCATTTGCGTTTGTCTCCAGTTCTCTTGAGTCTTTGCAAGTCCAAACGAACATGTCCCTTTACAAGACCGACGAAATCTTATCGACTCTGAAGTCGACGAAAAAGACGATTGACAAAGTGAAGAACCCGGAGACGACGACGTCGATGATCTTTGAAATATCCGAACGCTTGACTTTTGAGACGTCATTGATGTTTCTGAACTTCTTCCATTCATTCAACGCGACATACACGACCGGGGAGTTATACTTTTCGTGTAACGAGAATTTGAAATCCGTCCAGGACGAGGCACAGAAGAGGAAGCAGGCGTACGTGTTAAAGCACATGTCAGAGAAACAAACGGTGTTATACTGCAATTCGACTCTTTGGCAGATATTAGAAGCTGAAGGCCGACAAGCCAACCAATTACCAAAAGTGATAGAAACGATCATGAATTACTTATATAACAAAGGATGTACGACTAAAGGTATCTTCCGAGAGATCTACTCAGCGCCTTTAAAAGAAGTAGAAGAGATATATCATCGTATGGGAGTGACTGAAATTGAGGATTTACCTCCGGACGTAGTAGCGGGCGTCTTAAAGAAGTTTTTGTTACAAATGCCGAATCGGATCTTTGGATATGAAGAAACGATGACCGCGTTAGATAAATGGCGAGGGCTGAAAGGGAAGAAGAAAGTGAATGCGAGTGAACAACGGAATTTAGTGTGGGAAGCATTAAGAATGATCTCGTCGGAGAACATTACAGTCTTCCGAAGCATATTAAAGTTGTGTGCGAAGATCGATTCCATGTCAGATGTCAATTCAATGACTCATAAAAATTTGGCGATTTGTTTTGCACCAACACTCTTCACTTTTGCTAAAGAAGAAGGGAAGAAACCAGTTGATGCGGTCTGTGGGATATATCTTGTTGAGGCTATCGAGTTCATGAATTTTGCGTTCGCAGAACAACCTCATTTGTTCCCTTGTGATGTCGATGATAATGTAATGCGGAGATCAAGACGAATGTCCGAGTGTTTAGTAGTCTGTTTAGCAGAAGGGATGAATGATGACAAAGAGATATATAAAGGAGTCGAAGACTTTAAAAGAGCAAATGCAAAGAAAATGACTCCTCTTAAAGAACCATCCAAAAATCCTCAACAAATCGATCGACCAAAAGCAATCAGAGAAATACCAAAAGTCTTGTTAGATGATATTAGAAACAGTTCCCCTCATCGACTGATCCCAAGCGTTTCTATACATCGCCCTTTACCTTCTTTACCTAACAAATCAAATAACTCAAACTCAGATATCCCACCTCCCCTCCCACCTCCAAGAACAACACGACGCAAAGCTCATGAACAGACAATGTCTACTTTATAAGGGAATCTTCAATACATCAATGACTTACTATTATTAATCAATTATACTAATCAAGTTACTATTCTTTGCTTGTCAAAAGTAAACTATAATATATAATTATATAAAGTATAAAAGATAGTAAAGTGCTCGAGAATTTTTGTTCTCAACCAAAAGTTCAACGCAGACTGAAAACTCGAAAAAGAAGAAATGACGGCTCTTTTCGTATTACTCTTCGTCTTTGCATTCTCAGAAGAAATCAAGAAGATCGACCAAAGCAAATACTTCAACTGCGAGTTTCACACACCTCGAAAATGTCAGATCGAGAACGAGGAAGGAATTAAAGCCTTTATCAAGTCCGAGTTTTTGAATTAGTTTGTATTATAATATTTGCATACTATAATACTATTATTAATAGAATAACACCATTTTTAAGTATTTAAATGTTATATATAACATTTTAAATAACAAATACTGACACGTAGCCCAATGGTCATTCACACCAACTCAGATAAAGCCGCGTTTGTATTCTACGACGTCACAGGAACACAAATAGAGGAGATCCCGTTGCTTGGCCTCAGACAATCCCAAATTGAAAATATTTTGGACAGGAGAGGATTTTACTGCGAGAACCCAAAACAATTCAAAAAGCTCGAAGAACTCTTTACAGACGACTTTGTTTTGAACTTGGTGAAGCCAAGCAAATAAATTTTTAATTGCATACTTCTTTAATAGTATTTAAATAGTTTTTGGTATTATTAAGTAATGGTACAGTGAAGGATACTATAAATAAGATGGAGGCAAACAACCAATTTGTTCGACACATTCACTGTGAAAACAAAACTATTTGTTACAAAATAATAAAAATGCCGAAAAAGTGGAGAACAAAATAGTCAGTAACAAAATTTTATTTTGAAAATTAGTGACTTTTTTTCGTGTCTTTTTTTGGCTTAATTAAAAAAATTTAACGGTCTTTGATTTTGAAAAACATTTGAAAATTATAAGGAAAATCAATAAAAGTACCGTTAAAAATGAGTGTGATGTAAATGGTTGCCACTTTCCTATTTTAGAATAATTATAGTTATTCGAACAATTTACAAATTAAGTTCACAATTATTCATTTTACAAGTGAAATGTCAATCAAAGAAGGAAAGTGTATAATATTACGTGTTTCCAATTTTTAGTAAGAAAAACCAAGTTAATAACTTTCATTTTTTTATTATTAAAAGAATCTGCTAAAGTTATTAGCTCTTTGATTAACATTTTTTGAATTCCAATTTTTGGGGGTATTTAAAGGGAACTCCACTAGCTATTTTCATATTGCTTTGATGAGTCTGAAATACAAATGTTTGATGTTAGACCACGACGACACATCCGTAGATAGTACTCCACACATTCATTATCCATGTTATCTTCAATTCATGAAGAATCACCCCCACGATGCAATTCTTTCATACAACGAATGGTTTAAAATGCTATGGCATGAAGGCCTCTTCAACTATTATAGAAAAGAATTGAAGATGACTGAAGACCAAGTCAAAGAAGCTGTGGATGACTCTCGACAGTATGGACTTACTCATGAATCAGCAAAATTCTTCCCAGGGTTTATACCTTTGTTAAAGGCCTTTAAAGCTCGTGGTGGGATTCTTGTTGTTGTCTCTTTCTCGTCCGCAGAAAACATCAACAAACATTACAACGAACAAACAAAAGGCGAGATCCTCCCCGACTTCGTTTACGACTGGAAACATGACGCACCAGAACAATGTAAACCCTTCCCATATCCCGTTTTCGATGTCATGAAACGTTATAATTTGAAGAAAGAAGACATTCTCGTGGTCGATGATATGCTTCCTGGCTTAACTATGGCAAGAAAAGCAGGCGTCAAATGTGCGGGTGCGGTCTATGGAAAAGGTCATGAAGTGCTTCAAACCGAATTGAGTGAAGCATCCGACTATTTATGTGCCAGTGTCGAAGACTTACAGAGACTAGTAATCACTGAGAAAGAAGAGTGATATACTTCCTTATATTTTAGTGACTATTATTATAAGTATTTAATATATTTATAGAATATATATATAATATAATAATATAATAATAATAATATAATAATAATAGTAATATAATAATATAATATTACGTCACGTTTGATTATAAATTGTAAGGTTCTGTATTCTTAAGAATCCACTGTTGAGTCTCTTTGTCGACTAAGGGGAGAATATCTTCTCGTATCTTCTGATTATACCAATTCAACCATTCCACTTGACTTTTCTCCATTACACTGACATCGATTAAAGCTTGACTGAATGGTACATAAGTCAGTGGGACAAATTTTAAAGTGTGTTCTGTCTCCTTTGTAACAACAACCACATTCTCGAGTCGTACGCCCAACTCTTCATTGATATAAATCCCTGGTTCTATACTTGTCACCATTCCTTCTTTTAATGGTTGAGCCATTCCAATCAACGGTGGGCATTGATGACACAATGAATAGTACCCGACACCATGCCCCGTGGCATGATTATAGTCCCATTCTGGATTTTCAGTGGTAATAGTTTTCCTGACGTATTCGTTGTCCAATTCATTTGAATTTGTGTCTTTATCAAACACTGCTTTGTGGAGATTAATCGAACTCTTTAATACGGTCGTATACACTCGTTTCATTCTCTCACTCGGCACTTTGAAGTGATACGTTCGCGACACATCAGTGGTGCAGCCATCACTGTATTGACTCCCAATGTCAAATAAGAGCATCTTGTCCCAGTTCACTTCACTCTTTTCAGTCTTTGTTGGCTCATAGTGGATCACAGCCGCATTCTTCCCCGACGAGATGATGGAAGGGAAACTTGGTCCGTCATATGTCTTTTGTTTGCTTCTGATCTTCTCAAGTAACTCAACAAACTCCCATTCATCCGCCGACTTCATTTCTTGTGATCTTTTCTCGACTTCATTAAAGAACGTGCAGAGCGACGCAGAGTCTCTAGTATGGATCTTCTTCAAGTTTTCTATTTCTTTTGTCGTCTTAATTGGTCGCTCAAGAATTTCAAAGCGTTGGTTCAGTGTGAATGACTCGTCTTGTTTGATGATCAAAAAGACTTTGAGGTTTGTGAATTCCGCATTGAACGCCACGACGGGCCCTTCGAGAAGTGATCCCATTTTCTCATTAAAAGAGGTATATGGGTACACTTCAACTTTCGCTTCAATTAACTCTGTAAAGCTTTGTATCTTCTCTTTCTCTTCACTGCGCCCAATGAACAAATAACTTTTACTCTGCGTTATAACACCATATGCATAGGCCAATGGGGCATAGGGAATATCTTTTCCTCGGACATTAAACGTCCACGCGACATCGTCGATGTCCGTCAAGACCACAGTGTCGTTCTGATACGCTCGGATCATATTCAACTTCTCGGAAACGGTATTCCCACTTGTAAATTCCTTCACATCTCCAAGTGTTAAACTGGTCGGATTGATCTCCGAGAAGATGTCGATATCTTCAAAAGCTATACTATTGTCGATATAGACGGGACTCGATGTATTAAAGTCACAAGCAGCGTGAATGGCAAAGGAATATTTCTTGATGAAATTCATCGGTCGGATAACAGTCTTGTCGCCCATATGAAAGATAGTCCAATACTTGGGAAGGGTCTTCTCTGCCTGCAAGTAGTATCTCCCATCTACCCAGATATTAGCACTGTCTTTTGTAATGACTATCGACACATTCTCCCCTGTAAACCCACAGAGGTATTGAATACGTTGAAAAGAAGGGTGAACAAATTCTGTCATTTGACTATCCCCAAGACGTTGATAGTAATGTGTGATTTGATGTTTCTTCATAGCAGCTCTGAACAATGCCAGTCTTTCTTTGTATACTTCCATTCTAATATTTTCTAGTTAATAAGTTCATCTTTTTATCTTTAATTATAACATTTGTTTGACTTTTTTAAATAATAAAATATGTTATATAATATGTTATTTAATATAGTTTAATATATAGTTTAATATATAGTTTTATATAAATATGGTATTAAATAGTAAGTAGTATACTAAAAATAATAGTAAAAAATAATAGTAAAATATATACTATAATTAAAACTATTAAATATATAAAAAAAAATGATATAAAAATTCATTCAATCAGTGTAATTTTCTTTCCATATTGACGAATCCGATGCCATAGCAACTTAAAATGGTTGTTTTATTAGTTTCGTCCCACTTTGCTTGGAACATCACGCCCGCCAATTCTTTAATTGATCTCAAACATTCGACGGTCTGTTGAGTCAAATCGCCGAGTCTTAATTTACTCACGTTTTCGGAACAAATGACCATCATAATCAAAGCCCAAGATTGATGCATCACATCGACACACCCCCCTTCAGCAACTTCTTTTAAAAGCATACACGCGACTTTTTGTCCGATATCTTCCGGGACGTCGCCGGCTTCGCCGAAGAGTTCTGTTGAAATTAACGAGCCATTAATAGAACTTGCTGTTAATGTTACGCCATATCCGGGACATTTTCCGGCATCTTTTCCTTTCCAGTGATCCGTTGTTATATAGACGTCTTGTAAGTAATCGGAAAGGACTAACTTTGCGGCTTCCCCCATACGATTGACCATTTGTGGCGAGATTTTTGTCGAATATGCAACACCACGGACGGACCTGATTAATCCAAGTTCAGTCAAATCGATTGGGTGAAACTCTTTGACAGGGACAGTTGTCACTACAACTTCCCCTTCTCCTACAGGAAGTGGCCCACGCTTAATAATTTTCACATTCATCGAGTCTTCCGGTATCCCAAATTTCGTGAGTAACGGAATGGTAGTCGATCGGATGATATCGACAGACAAATCATCATTTGCATTTGTCACTCCCGTCAAATGGACTTCGGTGGAGGTCTTTGAAAATGGTAAAATTAATAATAAAGGAACTATATAATACCCTAAGGACCGACTGTGGTGACACGCATGAGTGACACTCCTTCCATTGACGGAACCCGGTCGATATAAAAACATAGTCCCCGTCTTACTAATATCGATCTCAGCACCATCAGTCACTTCCGATATCAATTTCAAAAAATCAGTCTCGTAGTCCCGTAACCCTGGGGACATGTCATTCTCACGGATCCGTGTGACTCGGATCGTCTGCCCTAAAAGCGTCGAAAGGACTATTCGATGACGAAACGACTTGGAACCCTCTATTTCTATTGCCATGAAATTTGAAATACAGTGGAGGTATCCTTTTTTTTGGTTATTAATTTATAGGGTTATCATCTCTATTAACGTATTGTTCAGTGTTGTTAATAAATAATATTATTTCTTATTTATTTAACGAGCTTGTAAGTTTTTTTATTATAATTATAGATATAGTTAATTGTATTATATTTTCATTGGTTAAGATTTTACTTCAATTTTTTTTTGAAATATTTTAGATGTCCAACTCTACTCGGTAATTACAAACAACAACAAATTCCACTCAAACGTTAATTAAAATAAAAAAAACACAAAAATTCGTTAAATATTTTTTTTATTTTAATTGTAAAAAATTTGTATTTTTTTTTTGAAATATTGATTTGTGTGAACTAGAAAATGATATAACATTCTTATAACAAAAAAAGGAAACTGGAAAAACATAATATTTCAACGATGCAACTGTTCTTATTTTTATTATTCGCCATTTTCTGTGTTGTCAAAGGAAACACCGAGGAGTTCGCGCTTAGCGACATCGACGACGAGCTCGACGACTTCGGAGACGCGGATTTCGATTTGAACGAGGACGACGACGAAATGGATGACGACGACCTTGACGACGAATACGACCTCGAACAAGAACAAGAAGGTGAAGCACCATCCTCTTCAGGTGGAAGTGCTCAGCAAGTAATTCTCGACGCAGAAAGAACACTTGCCAAAATGGCTACTTTCCCTTATTCAAAGGAATTCATGTGAAGATAAAGCAAATTATTTAGTGATTTGTTTTGTTTTACTGTTCCAACTCATACAGATACGTTATAAATAATACAGATACAATATAATTATAATAGATACAATATAGTTATAATAGATACAATTATTTATAATAGATATTTTACTTTATAATAGATATAATATAATTATATTATATCTGTATTATTTGTTTACTCAAAAAAAAGATCAAAAAACACTAGAAAGACCTAAATGTCGAAGAAGGAGAAGAGCGTATCATCTTCAAGTGGCTCGGTGTCGTCTTCATATTCATCTTCGTATTCGTCATACTCTTCGTCATATTCTTCATCTTACTCTTCGTATTCGTCAAGTTCTTCGAGTTCATCGAGTGTAAGTGACAACAATAGAGAACAGTTCAAGAGCGACGAGGAGTGGAGTCTTGACGAGAATTTTGAGAAGTATGAGCAAATCTTCAAAGAGAAACAGAAAACGTGTGATTTAAAAAAATGAGATAGTCGAAAATAGAGCGATTAAAATTGACTTTTTCGATAATTGATTGTTGGTAAAGTTTTGGAGTGTAACCGTCATGAAGTCCAACGAGAAGTAAATTAAAACGTGTCGAAGTTGTTTGCATAAATGACGACGAGTCTTCCTAAGACCACTAAAACAATGAAAAGATAGTACAACATTTTTTGATAGCCAAGACTTTCATTTTGTTCGACGTATTTGTTAGCGTTGATCGGTTTAATCGTCAGCGATTTTTTGAAGTACCTATTTGTCAGTTTTATTTCATAGTCGATCATATCAAGACAAACTTATAAGCAAAATAACAGAGAAGTGGAGTAATTAAAATAACTTCAGTGTAATCCCCAGCTATCAAAAATGAGAGTGTTGTTAAGACGGTGAAAAGGACTTCGAGTTTAATGAAAGGGTTCATCGCATTACTAAAATCAATTTGATTGATTAACTCTTGTTTTAATTCATCCACCGTCATCGCAAAGTGATAGTTAAGGACTATGTTCACCGACAAAAAAAGAAAAGAAAGCACAATGTCAAAGATGTGGTAGAAATCTTGCATCCTTGTTTTCTATTTTTGAGTTCTGAAGCAATTATAACATTTGGAATTACCAAATTAATTACACAGCTTTATCGACATACGTTGGTGTTATCATAATTATGAAAAACACCTTCATATTCAAGTTTGATGCTTTTGTAGTTATTCTGAAATAAAGGTAACAAGATACAAACACTTAAAGTGATTATTAAGGGTAAAGAGTTGTATCAAAACATAATGCATTTCATATACTATAATTGAATAAAAGTAAATAATAAAACTAACTAGAAAAAATAGAGAGTTCATAACATCGTGATAAGTTTGGAGAATAGCGACGACGATGCTCCAGATACATTCGACACTATTGGGTTGTTGGCGCTCGGCAACAAACTTCGTAGTATATCAAGGATGGTCTTTGTATATGGCTTATTTACAAAGAGCTCCGCAAAGACCATGTCAAACACCTCCCTATACGATCCACTCATCTACTTGTTAGTACTGTCATTCCAAAATTCTTAAAAACAAACGTTGTACTTATAAAACGGCTCGATATTGAATTTCTCGTTTAAGAGTGTAATGTTTGTATATGCAAGTGTACAAGACTTCATATCGACTGTACACCCTCCTTTAAACGACGCCCTTGCCAAGAAAATGTGGTTTTGAGGAAACGGCGATTTTTCCAATTTGATTTGGTCACCAATTTTTGTCATAATTCGAATGTTGGCTGAGCTGTAATTCACTTTGACAAGAACACAATTGAAAAAAACGTCGATTTCTTTTACAGGCTCGGTGCACTGGTCGGGGATGTATGAAACTTTTTTGAACGAGACTTGGCTGTCTTTTTTGTTTGGTTGTGTGAATTCAACAATATTGTCTTCTGTTTTCTCGTTTTTGATTTTGTCGTAATTCCTCACAAAGAAATGAAATTCGTCAATTTCAAAATAAGTGGTTTCGCTTTCATCGTCAAACTCTTCCTTCCTTCCATTTTTGATATCAAATTTCAACACAACGGTTGTTTCGATGGTGCCCACGTTAAACAACGCATCCGACAAAGTTATATCTTCCACGTGTATTCGCTTAAATAATATAACTCTTTTATCTTGTTTCTTCGCTATGCCGCATGTTTTTTCCTCCACCAAAGTGTTTTTTTCTTTTGTCGAGGTGGTTTCCTCGACTCCTTTAATTTCTTTGCTTTGATTTTTGTTCACTAATGGTGTGTCTGCGATCACAGCCGTTTTTAATAAATCATCCACATGAAGTTGTTTCGTTCCAAGAAGCCGGTACGTCTCGTCGACAATTTTCAGTCTATCATCTGGGAAGGGAGACAACACACACGCCCTACTATCAGCAACACTTTCCACTCTCTCAAAACACACCATCGTTTCTTCTTTGAACTCGTCACGCTTGGTGTAGTCACGGGATTTTTTGTGTGTCTTCTCAAGAGACATAAAAAGGGTCGACAGCATTATTTTGACGTCCTTCGTCTGCAGACAAGCAGAAACATTTAGAACAGGCAATTCCACTTGTTCCAACAAACTTGTTTTAACAAAGCGGATAGGGCCTTCTGTCTTGACATCGAGTTGGTTGTTGATCTTAATTTTGTTAGGAAACAAGAGGAGAGTAAATGCAGTTTTGTCTTTCAAAATTTTGGTTTTGATATTTGCCATTTCAACGTGAAAGTTTTCATAAGAAAATTTCATTTTGTCAGTGGTCAAGTGAATTTCCGTGTTGATTTTTTCTTCTTCAGAGAATGCAATCAAATCCATAAATTCCCTCAATACTTCAAAAACACCCTTTTCACTGTTCGCCGAACAATTTTTTTCGTTTGAAATTTCATTCGTTTCCTCGTCTTTTCCAATTCGCAAAAGAGTGATTTTCCCGGTGATTAACCGCTTGACTGGTGGAATGATATATTTCACGTTTCGGTAGAAATTACTTTTGTAATCATCTGCGATATTGTCGAATATTTTTTTGTTGATTTTTGACTTTTTGTGAACAACAAAACAGTCTGACTCGACTTCAAAACTGTCAAGGTGAATTTGTATATCCACGTGAATACACATAACTCCGCTCCCAAACAAGTCGCTTGTTGCAAGGATTTGAACAGTCCCCATTTTGTCTTCATTGGTTGTACCACTTTGTTCCACACAAATTCCTTTGACACTGATATCATAGAAATCGATGTTTTTCACAACCACATCGTTTTTGTCGACAAACGGAAGAACACAGTCTTCGCTTATTCCATTGCCATCGACTTTCAAACTTTTAATTTCTTCTTGGACGTCTTCTTGCTCAACGAAGAAAAAGAACTTCAACAAATCGTTGAGGTGTCCGACAATCTTTGAGTCGTATATTTTGATGTTTTCGATTGTTATCTTATAGCAATTCTTCCCAAATCTAATATAATTGTTCAAGACATCGTCGATGCTGTACATATCTTTTTGAAGCTTGTCGTTCTCGTTGTACATTTCCTCCACAAAACACTTCTTATAAAAAGAGACGTGGCGTTTCTCTAAAGCGTTGTCCCCAATCGCAAAATCAAAAGACGAAACTTCGCACGTTAAAATATCGAGAAAACTCTCTCCGGTTTGTTCTTGCACAATCAGCCGCGCGTTTTTGTCGCCTTTCTTACACAACGAGAACTTATCGACTTTTCCGTTCTTCCACGTAACCTTGATTCCATCGGTGTTTTCAATTCTTATGTTATAGAGGTTACTCATCCCTTTGATCTCAACCCCTTCAATGTAAATAGTGTCTTCTTTGTCCCCTTCTATTCCCCTTGACCTTCTTTCTTCATCTCTTCCATTGACAATATCCCAAAATATCTCGAAGAAGTTGCCTTTCAAAGTGTCTATGTCCACCTTGATTTTGCCTTTAAAGAAGGATTCATCAGAAATGGCCGAGTGAATTTCCCACCATTCTTTCTCTTTATATTCCGTTGCCACGTCACCAGATTCAACTTCATTCCGCTCGCTCATCAAATACTCATTTTTCAGATTTTTATTTTTCAAAAATTTTGTTTTTTATAAAATAAAATGATGTTAATTTCTCATCAAAAACTTGAAAACGTCAAAGTGAAACTGTATAAACACCTTTTTTAAACGTCAAAGTGTCATACGAAAATCTCCATACGCAAAACTTCAGAAACGACACAACACGTTTTACCAACACTTATGAATTGAATAAAGAATTAACCAATACATTACTAATAAAATAGTAAATTAATAGTAAACAATTGAATTGGATTAAGCAAAGATATGTTGAAGGTTGACGTTGTTGTTATCATATACACCAGTCATCCTATAGTGGTACCGATCGGGGGACGAAAGAGTAAATCCATAGTGGAAGAAAGTGTTACAACCGGCCACAAAGAGACAGTTGACTAAAAACTGTTGTATCGTTTTGATGATTGCCTTGTCCTCTCCGTTGATGTTTGTGTTGCGCAACTCCACAGAACACTCGGCAATGATCATTGAGATGTACTTTCCCTTTTCACAGAGAGGCTTTATATAGTCTGAGAGTAAGTCGTCAAAAATCGAATCTCGTTTGGATAGACAGGCATCACGGAACGACGTGAAGAAACATGGATCACACACAGAAAAAGATTGAACTATTTTGTGAGAAAGTTTCTCTTTCATTACGCCATAGGAATAAAAGTCAAGAGTCCGTTGTGACTTTCCATAATGATCTGAGAAAGAAATTGGTAACAGGTTGTTCGAAATCACATAGCGAATAATCTTGTGAAAGTGAGAGGTCTGGATCGTCATTTGAGTTTCAAGTTTCGGTTCCAAAGTTACATGGCTACAACATCACTTTTGGGAGGAATTGACAAAACTCAACATGGACTCAAATAGTTTTCAAAAATAATTCTATTGTTATTTATTTATAGTTATGTCGATTTTTGTATCATTTTGAGGTTTGCAGATTTGGGAAGCATAGTTTAATTAATTTGTTCACTAATAGAATTTTTTATTATTATCGCTTTATATTTTTTATTAATCGTATCATAATATTAAACGATTTAATTTACTATAATCAAATGTGTCAAGAGATATTTAAATTATCGGGAAATAAATTTTAAATATAAAAATTATTATTATTAGTATAAATCAACGTATCGTTTAATTTTACTAAAAATAATTACTATTTATAACAACATATTAAGAATTTCTACCGATAAAAATGAAAAAAAGGTTCATACCTAAAAAGAAATGATGTTTAATAATATAATAACTATATAGTATACAAATTATAAAGAATAGTTTTTATTATACAAATACTATTCAAAAAAATGGATAAAAAGAACAAACTTAAAATAGAACAATATTATCGCAAAATAATAATATTATTACCACATTATAGTTAACAATGATAATTAAGTTTAGTTTTATTTGATTTTTCGGGAAATTTTATTAAATGAAAATATTAAAGAATACTATTTCTAAAACAATCCGACTTCTAAAAACATTTTACAAAAATAAACAAAGAGTAAAAAATCACATTTCGACGCGCTTCTAGCAATGCCCACCAATTTGGGAAATGAGGTCTGTTTGATTTTGACAACCTATATTTGTTAATTCCATAATAACAGAATATAGTTTTATTGTGTTGATCCCGTATTATTAGCCAGAATCAGTGGAAAAAGAACAAATGAGATACTACGACTGTTGAAATGAAGAACTCAATAGAAGTCATGCACTTTTGGGTTTGTACTGATTCCCTTTTATTAATAATAAATCAAAAAAGTCCAACAAAAACGGGAATGAAACATTTCTTTTCCATCTCAAACAATATCGTCTCAAAAGTTCGACTAATTTGTGTAGCTTTTGAGTATTTGAGTAGAACGCTTAACTCTTCATTTTACCCACAAAATCGGGAAATTAGGCTACGAATAGGACGCTTTTTACTTTTTCGACGAGTATAACGTATTAGTCTTCACATAAGAGAACAACACAAGGGGTGCCTTTTCTCACCAAAAAAGGAGTGGAACCTTCCCATTTTCTTCTTGAAAAGTGTTGTGTCAGAACTCATTAACATGTTAGATTGTCATTGTTACACCGCACCACTTAATAGTCTTGTAGAAGTCTATCGTCAATTGAAGGTATGGAGTGATAGTACTGACTATACAATACTCTTCGACTCCTCAACATCTGATTGGACTCTCAACTCCGATCAGTTCGCGCAAAGGGTATTAAACAAGCAGAACCTTTTCTTTGTTGTCATCGATGAGAACAACAACATCTTTGGGGGCTATAAAAAGTCTGTAGTGAAATCAGAGGATGACTTTCTCAAAGACAAAGGGGCTTATCTCTTCACTATGAATGTCTACGGTACCGTTGGAATACCTTTAAAGTGCGTTTTAACTCAAAGCAGTGCAAAAGACTCTTTCTTTTTGGGTTCAAAGAGAAATAGCATCCTCTTTGCTTTCGGTAAAGGCGACTTGGTCGTTTACAAAAAAGACGTCGGAAAACGAGGAATCTGTTTACAATGTTCCTTCGACTATTACAATGCTCCTGTCGTTCTTTGTGGGACAACACGGTTCGTCCCACAGCGTGTACTTGTTGTTGAAATGTTGAATTAATATATTTATTGAGTATAGTACCGAGTTATAGTAATTTTATTAGTAAATTAATTATAAAAAGCACACACTATAATATATAATAATTATAATAAATATATAATAAATATATAATAAATATATAATAAATATATAATAAATATAGATGGATAAATATTGAACCCGAACCTGCCACGTCACAATAACAAAAACAACAAAATGTTATTCTTATGGTTTTTGTTTATAATATTGTTAATAATTAAAAACTATACATTTGTTAATAACATTTCCCGTGTTTTAATTATTATATGCAAAGATATTAAGTCGGGTTTTTCTTTAAACGGAATTGAAAAATTTCAATTAATCCTTATGAGGTTTCTTTTCATCTTTTTTGAGTTGATTACGGTTTATTACAAATCGCAATTTCTTTCTCTTGGACGCTTCATCAACCAATTTAGAAGTTTTAGTAGCCCTTTTTCCTTTGCATTTAATAATCTTTGGATCTTTTATCTCTCCTTTTGAATACACGTTGGTGTCTTCTTTCAAACTTTCTATTGTCTTAATGAACTCTTCTGTCTTGCTCGCGATGGTTTTTCTTCTTAAAAGGGAACCAACACTAAATAGTTTCTTCCTCAAATCTTCTTTTGTCATGTTTGTTGTCAAGTTAGTAGTCACGACGCGGTGGTAGCATTGGCAACTTTGTTCTTTTAGCACAGAAGTACCAAAATCGTTTTTTGTCAGATATGGAGATTCATTTGGGCACGATTCAATTGAAACAAGACAATTATTAATAGTTCGAAAATATCCAGTTGGACATCTCTCATGATTTCCGAAACGTCTCGAAACTATTCTGTTGAAAAGTAAATGTGGACAAGGAACACCACTTGTCAAATAACCTTCACAATTGCAAGTGCAACAATCACCAACAACGCAATTGCTGATAGTAAGAGAAATGTGATAATTATTAATCAATTTGTCCAAAGTGAAGGTGTCAAGTTTACTAAGCAAATCTCTACTTACTAACAAATTTAGAGTTTTCGTGTGTGTTTCAGTCATTCCTGCTGTTTTCAAATTGGTCTGCCTTGCGTAGTTCATAAAAGACTCAATTGCTTCTTTCATGGTTGGGACTTTACATTTAAAAGATGCTTTAGCATGTGAAAAAATGACTCGACTACATTAGATGTCGAAAACAATCCCTGGTCAACTTGTGATGGCATATAATATTTGTTAGATTCATAAAGTTCAACTAAAAATTTCAAATTCGCATGTTCATCATTTTCAGGTGTTGTTTTCAACATTGTTCTGAGATTTAAATTAAAAGTGTCAACTGCACTTAATGTTTGTACATTTTGGATTGCATCCTTGATTTCATCACATTTCGTTGAATCATAAATCAAATTTAAAATAACTGTAATAAACTGCACTTCTCTTTGGAGCAAATTATCCACATTTAGAAACATTGAATAAAGTGATGTTTCCAACACACTTCCCTTTCCGTAATGAGTTTGAATGTTGCGAGAAATGTGTATGTAACAAAACCTGATTTTTACATTTTCACCAAACACGCATTTGAGTGCAAAAAATTGAGATTCGGAACGATCACACGAGAAACCCAAAGGAACTTTGTTACATTCTGACAATACCCGTTTTAACTCCGACAAATACAACACAAATGATTCTTTGGTCGAATTTGTGATAAAACCAAAAGACAGTGCTTGTATTTTCCCATTGATTTTAAATACAGTGGCCAACAATGGGCATCCAAACTTGTTAGTGCAATGAGTGTCATCAATGCAAATGCAACTACCATCATACTTACAGAGTCCTTCATTGTTAATTACAAATGAAGAAACGAAAATTTCGTTTTCGTCAACGTAAGTTGTTGAAGAGAAATCAGTTTGTTCTTTCAAAAACGTAATGAACAAATTACACTGTTTCTTAGTGTCCATCCTCGCAGCTTTCATTCTGACATTGTAAAGAATGCCCGGGTTCACTACAATCTTGTTATTGACTCTGATAGTTGATGATGGAAGCCCCATTTCTGTTTCCTTTATAATTGCTTCTTTCAAAACACTACTCAATTGATCATGAGAACCTTTTATCACGTTAAATTCGCCGTGTAATGAATGCCAAGGATTATAATAAATACCCACACATTTTGTTTTATACAAATAAAAAATTATTTTGGATGTGCACTCTTTGTGTTTGCATGTGTATATCTGTTTAATTTGATTAATTCCTGTGTTTATAGCTTTATATATTTGAACGTTACTGGTTCCAATCAAATAAAATGAAAATGTTTTCAACTGTTCTGTACACAATGTTGGATAATCTAAATTTAACATTTCCCAAAGCCCTTCTTTAATTTTTTCATTAACTGAAGACAATTCTGTTTCTTTTGATATTTGTTGTTGAATCAACATAAAAGGTATTTCATAATCTTTAAATGTTTCAATAACTTCAGATGGTGTTGATTCAATGCTGTAACTTAATAATTGTGTTTTTACAATGTTTTGTTGATGTTGTTGATCTTTGTCTGTCTTGAGGTATATGTCCATTATATTTTAGAGTTCATTATTGTTATTAATAATCAGTTTATGGAAAACCCCGACTAAAACACGGGAAATGTTATTAACAAATGTATAGTTTTTAATTATTAACAATATTATAAACAAAAACCATAAGAATAACATTTTGTTGTTTTTGTTATTGTGACGTGGCAGGTTCGGGTTCAATATTTATCCATCATAAATATATAATAAATATATAATAAATATATAATAATTATAATAAATTATAATAATTATAATAAATATATATTAAATTACTATAAATTATAATAAATTACTCTTTGAAGTCGTGGATCAATGGCTTTGTGTAATTAAAAGAGAATGCAAGCCACAAGAGTGCCAAGAAAGCTTCTAAGATTAACGAGAAATAAAATGGAGACCTTGTGAATGTGAATAACTCTTGTAAAACGGAGGAAGGAATTATTAATAATTTCACGAAGGAATAAACTGCGAAAGAAAGGAGTAATATAGCTGTTGAAAAGATTTCGAGTTTGATGAGAGTTGGGAGTGTTGGGTTCATTATGATGTGTAATAATGGCAAAAGTATTAAAGTAAAGTGAATAAACAAATCCATCACACTCCACCCACATTGTGATAAATGGCGTGGGTAATACCCTTTCGACTGAACAACAAATTTCACGGGACGAAGATCGTCACATTCCACTAAATTGATTGTAACAGCAGTATCCCGAGATTGATATAATAAGTTGATTGTCAGTAGTATTGTAGTAATTATCAATAGCTTCGTCAAGTTCCCCATCTACACACAATTGTCAAATCTAATGTCCAAAGTTTTTTCTTTATAGTTCATTAGTAATAGTTTTTTATATTAGTATTTTACTATATAGTTCTTTTGTTGGGTTCAGAAATCAAAAATACTAAAAATTGTTTTTTGTTTTATTTATAATTATTAAAGTATAACATTTTACTATTATTAAAACTAAATTAAATTTACTATTAATATTTGATATTGTATAGATTTATTTCATTCTATTATCTTTGTAAAAATGGAATTACTAAAAATCCTTTGATTTGACTTTAAAAAGCTATTTTATCATCATTTGATGAATTTTAATTAAAATAACTATTGTTATAATAAATAAATTAATAAATATTAAAATATCAATTTACAAGTTTATATTCTTGCCGAATTGTAAAGAATAAAAAAACGTCAATTATTTTAAAAATAGTACTATTACTATTTTACTAGTATATATGCTATTGTTTACTAGAATTCCAATTCTTTTAACAAAAATACACCGATACAGAAACAGGCAAATGTATTTTTGATTGAATTTATTTTGTCTTGTCATCATCAAACTATAAATTATAATAAACAAATTTAATAAATATACCATACCACTTCAAAGCATAAAAACTATATTTATACCACAAGATACTATTAAACTTTTCTACATCTGCGATACTACTGTGTTTAATAAAACTGAATTATTCAAACCGTGTGATGACAACCAAAACACCGTTTTTGCAAAGTCTCTTAACATCAAAGGACTTACTTGAGCAAAAACTGTCGTGTTCGCAGACTGCTGTGGAGTCATTGAGACTTGTCAAAGAAATGTTGCCGATCCAAACCGCATCGATGCGGCTGCGCCGACGCATTTCGTTGTCGGTGATGATGCAAAATGATCTCAAGAAGACGTTGGAGTATTTAATAGCGCAACAAAACAACGACAAACGGCACTATCAAAAGGACCTTGAAAAAGAAAAGAACACTCTTAAAGAGTTTCAAACAAAGATTGACAGCGCGGATTCAATCTTTAATTCAGAGACTTTATCAACTCCCCTTGCTAGTTACTTATTAGGCTCCGACCTTTACATCAACATCATCCAGAAGAGTTTTCGGTTAGGTGATGTCGAAGCTCGAAAAGATTTAACAAAGGCCTGGCGAAAAGTTTCTGTCTTCCTCTTTCGCAATATTCTTCTTCTGACCAAACCGGGTTCCGAAATCATCTTGTCGACTATTTATATCCCCGACTGTTACAAATTATTAATGTTCCAAGACCCATCCCATCTCTTCATGATCAAAGTCTGCGACACCGTTTGTCATCTAGTTCTTTTTATAATTACTTTACTATTAAATTTATTATACACACAATGTACTGATCTGCAGACGTTTGCATTCAACATGGAGGAAGTCCTTGAGAATTGGAAGGACAAAATCAGTAAACGACTTATGTGGTATCGGACGACCAATTTTCCACAACGACAATTCAAGAATGTATCGTTCATAGAGAAGATGACCACTCCGGCTGCGTTATGTCGCCGGTCGATTTCGTTATTAAACTGTTTACAATTCTCTCCCCATATCTTTGAAAACGTTGTTGGTGTCAATTTACACGATCTGGCACAGAAGGAACGAACACAGAAAGCCCCGTTAGTGTATAAGTTATTAATTGATCACATCACTGAGGAGTGTGCGGGTATAGAAGGCATTCTACGCTTGTCTGGAGACTCCGACAACATTCAACGTCTTGAGATGAAGATCTCCAGTCGGACGTTTTCATCATTGGACTTGAAAGATGTCGACCCACATACCGTGACATCCACTTTAAAGTCCCTTTTTAAGAATCTTCCTACACCATTGATCCCACAAAACACTAACAAACAAATAGAAAGTGTTGTAGGGAAATATCAAGACTACTCTCAAGTGGTGAAAGTGTATCAAATTCTTTCCATCCTCAAAACTACCCTCCCAGAACACTTCGAAGTCTTCAAACTCCTCTGTAAGATGTTTGGAGAGATTATTAACCAATCAAACAAAAACAAAATGGATTTAAAGAACGTCTTAATCTGCTTTGTCGAGTCCGTCCGTTGTTCTCCTGCCGTGTTTACCATAGCTTTACAGAACCAAGGCATCTTCTTCGATCGTTTGTTTCTTCGTCGTATTCATTCCTTTACAACTTAATACCATTTCAAATCCTTTATGAAAGTGGTTTATAAATTATTAATATATTATATATTAATTAATAAATTATTATTTATAATTTATTAGTTATTAATCTATAATTTATTAATTATTGGTTTATAAATTATATATTAATTTATAATATATAATTTATTAATTATATATTATTAATTATTAAATATTAAATTATAAATTGGCACTCACTTCTAGAATGGAATTGACTCGATCCAATACTCTCGTTGCAATGATTTCTTGTTATTATTTGACATATTTGACTTATTCAATTTTTTACTCAATTTTCAAACTTTATTAAAGTTTTTAAATCCGTTGAAGTGGTCGAAAAACAGTTCAAAGACCGCGCAAAAGTATTATTAATGCAACACATTAAAATGAAAACAGAATTATTGGTAGTACGCAAAAGCCGAGTTTTGCCAAGGTCCGCCCTGTTGGAATCTTTGTTGTGGTTGTTGTCCATACGATCGTTGTACTTGTTGAACGGGTTGGACTGGTTGTATTTTGATTTTTGGTTGTGCGCCTTTGTTTCGATATGGATTAGCGAACATTCCGCCTCCGTTCCTCTGTGGTGGGTTTACGAATTGTTGTTGTTGATATTGGAGTTGTCCATAATTTTGATAGGGGACTTGTTGGACTGGGACATAGAGGGGTTGTTCTTGTCTGACAGCGACTGGTTTCATTGGTTGAATGGGTTGGATTTGAATTGGTTGCATCATCGAGAAGTCTTCTTCATTCTCCCAGTCGTCGAATTCGTCGTTGTCTTGGAAGTTTTGTACAAACGATTGTGGGGACATAGAAGGTGAGAAGAAGTTCATATCCATATTACTTGGGTCGTATTGGTCTGCCAACTCGTCTTGGTAGTGGGTAGGGTTTTGTATTCTGCCGTATTTCATAGCTGTTGGATTTGGGGCGACTGCACCTACTCTTTGGCATGTATAGTCTTCTTCAAAATCGTTTCTTAGACAGATCGACGCGACTTCCGCGTTAAGAGCGTCGATTTGTCCACGAATCTCCGCAAGTCTTCCCGAGTCTCTTCGTTGTTGTTCGACTCTATTTTGTTGGTCATATCCTTGTTGATATCTGACGTATCTCATTGGTGGTTGTTGAGTAGCTATTTGGGGTTGAACCATTTGAGGAACGACATTTTGGTCCGTATAAATGACATGTTGTGGCGCCATTTGAGGCCGCATCATCGCTTTCATCTTCGCGTACTGTGACGCGTCGAATGTTTGTGAGACGTAACCTCTTCTCCCTTGCATCGGTTGAAGAGTTTGGTTCAGTGCTGGTTTCCGTTGTATGCGTTGTTGAGGGACGACAGGAACGGGAACCATAATAGTCTGAGGCGCTTGTTGTGCGGCCGCTTGTTGTTTTCGCAACATTTTGAATTGTTGATAAAACTCTGGTGGGCAGGTTTGATACGGGTTTGACATCCAATGCTTTTCAAGTTCTTCGTGTGTGCTTTCCCTCCTCTTTTATTTCTATTTTAATTCTCCCGTTCCTCCACTTTGTCTTGTGATTTCTCAAAAATGGCTTTTAAACTAGTTCTTTAATAGTTTTTGTTATTCATCTCGTGATGCTTTTCATTTGTGGGAACTCCAAGTAACTTTTGTTGGTTTCTTTTTTTCATATCGTATTATAGTTCTCGTATGGTTGTTTTATCATCTTGTTTTAGTATTTCTATTTGTAACAAACTGAATAGTAATCTTGATTTGAATTTCCTTTTCAGTTGTTTTACAAAATAACACTCAACTCTACAAGATTATTTCGGGCGTTTTTCAGACCATTTTTTTCTCTATAGTTCGTGCTATAGTTTAAACTAGTTTATAACTACTATAATTACCTTTTCAAAACCAGCACCTAAATATAGTTCTATAAATACTAAAAATACTATTAAAAAGTACTATTTCCTACTTAACAAAAACAATAGCCTTCTGTTCTTCTGTCGCTGTCTTCTTGAACTTTGTGAGAAGCGAGTCTGCTGAGAACAGCACGTCGAGTGGGATTTTGTTTTCGTTGTTGATGGTCCAGATATATATTTCATCAAACGATGGCGCAGCTCGAAGGAAGTTGTCTCTGTTCTCCACCATTAACGCTGCAGCCACAAACATAAACAGTCGCTCATCTGGAAACGCGAAGAATGCCTAATCAGTCATCTCTCCCATTTCTAATACCAAATAACAAACATCCCACAGTCTCAAGACTAAATTCCTCTTAAACTCTCTTTTGAATAACATCAGTAACCACCTCGCTATAAATTCAAACGTCAGTCTCATCGTTTCAAAAAACTCTCCAAGCTCGGGATCTACTACTTCAATTATAACACCAACACCTTTCATTTTTTCAGTACTTATCGGGCCATTCCCTCCATAGATGTCATGTACCAGACTTAAAGTAAATTGAAACAAATAGTACAGCAAGTAATCTTCTGTAGTGACTTCCATTAAAATGGATAGAATATCATTCATCCCTATTTATTAAAATATATACTATAATTGTATTAGATATATTATAATTATATTATTTAAATTAGATATTATAATTATATATATTATTATAATTATATTATATCTTTTATAATTATTTCTATGAATAATAATACATAAGAACTAACCTTGTCCATAAACAACTTTTTGCGATATACAAAACGTTGTGATAACGTCATGAAGGATTTTAGTTTCTTCACTCTTAACATCTTTAAACATGGCAACATCTCTGTCAGTGCGAAGAACATCTTTTGTGATGATGTCTTTGTTTTTTAAGTAAAAATCTAACGTGTCTTTGTCCATCGAGCTTTGGTCCCCATTCTTCCAAAGGTCTTTGTAAGTGATGTACTCCTCTTGCATTGACTTTTGTCGCTCTTCCCATTCGCTTTTATTTGTTGACAATTTCCGAAGCCCCGCCACTATCTCCCACACAACTAACCGACAGTCTTCATTACACCCGTTATATTTCATTTTGGTTCTTAAGTTCATTTCATCGACTTCTCTTAATGATCCATCTTCTTCTTGGAGACGGTCTAAAAACGTCTGAGAAATGGCAAGTGGGTCTCTCATTATTTCTGTGTCTCGCGTTTCCTTCTGAATTTTTAAATCCCGTTTGTGTATGACTTCTTCTTGGTGATGTTCCATTTGGTTATTTTAGTTAGAATAGTATATTATACTATTAATATATTATACTAGTATTAAATACTAGTATCAGTAATAACAAATTATTAATAAATCATACTATTAATATAATATACTAGTATTAAATAATAAAAGAACTATACAAAACCTATATAAAGAAGTAAATTAAACAAGAACAATCGTATACACTTTCTATAAAAAAATGTAATCACAAAGACGCTGATACTGAAGAAGAGAAGATTTCCATTAAAATTGGTTCTTCCTTTTCAAGAGTAATTTTTCCTTTTGTATCGACGAGATTTGAAAGTGCGTCATTAATCTTTTTACCGAGTTCAATGATTTCGTTCTTGTTAAATATGAGTTTTCCTCTTAAAAAGACTGTTTTGATTCTTTCGAGTTGAATGGTCTTGTTACTTTTTTTCGACAATTTAGTGTTAAAAAAATACCCTTTTTCGAGTAAAACATCGAAGAGGAAATTTTGAATAAAAATGGTTTTGTTTTTTGAGAATCGTCTTGAGAGTGTTTTTGCTTTGATACCATTCTTTTCTTTACCACCAAAGAGTAACGAACTTTGTCGTTCAGAGAGTCGTTTCAAGTCGATGTTTTCTCCATCCAAGTCCAAATTAATAACTTTTGGCATTGTAGTAGTTAATATTGATTGTTTGCCTGGCTTTTCTAAAGTGACTGCTCCAAACTGATTAACTAAAAAAATGAGGATAGCTTGTTCATAACAGAAGTCGTTCTTAAACTCGTGTTCGCGCATGATATTTTTGAGGCGGTGGTCGGAGTGTTCCATAGTTTGAGCAATAGTTAGTGATCCGTATTTATATAAGATGTCTCATGTTTCCATTCTTCGTCGAATATTTTTAACACCTACTAACGTTAGACACCGGTTTTCCCTTCATCCGTGATTGTAATTCTATTTAATAATTAGTATAACACTTCTTTCGTTTTTATCGCAATGGAATGGTTTATTATCAAACGTGCTTTTTGTACTATAATTTAATAGTATTTTATGCACTTTTAATACTTATAATCATTTTTTTGCCAATTTGAAATGATTGTAAATTCGATTGAAAATTGTTGTGAACTGTTTTCAAATGTATTTCTATTTAAATAACATTTTAAATCATAATTTGTATTTATATACAAATGATTGGAGTTAATTAATATAACAGCAACATATATGTAACTCTCGCTATATTTTACTCTTATCCCGATTCAATAGTAACAAGTAATGTATTTTAAAAGATTTATGTATTAAACTAAAGAAGAATAAACAAAATCGCCACTGCGCAACCATCTTATTCTGTGATTTGTATAGAAAATAACCTAAGATTTAGGGTTTAAATACCCGTTTTATAAGACTTTTTTAATGTAAATCATTTGAAAAAATAAACGTGGGTTACTATCATTAATGATTATTTGAGACAATTATAAAGAAATATACCGGGATTTTCACAATAATAATAATTTATAGGTTAAATTTTTTTAATAAAATTAAAAAAAATAATTATAAAAACATTTCTTTATTTTAGAAAAAAAACTTTTTTAAATCAAAGTCTATTTTGCTAATTAACCCGTTTTATGGTATAAAAAAGTTGTATTTTAATGTTCTAATTATTTATTCTGAATACGTCATTTCATCACTAAGCATCTAATACCTGATTAATAAATAATTGTAAATAACTACACTTTATTAATTAAAATAATCATTATAAATGAATGGGTCACTTAATAGTTCTTTTATTAGTTCTTTTGTGTTAAATCTATACATTTTGTCGAAAATGGAAAAATGTAATAATTCGCTAAAAGTAGACTTTTTTTGTAATTATTTGATCTCAAAATAGAAAGTCGTCACATTTTATATAGTTTTATAATAATATTTTTAATCAACCTAAGAATAAAAAAATAGTTTTTAATTTCATTATAGTTACTAATTCATTTAAATTATATAAAAGGTTAAAAAAATGACAAGTTGTTTTTATTTTTGGAATAATCTTTTTATAAATAAACTTAACTCATACTTGTTGGTTTGATATCTAAAATCTCCCGAACTAATTACCGAAAAAATCCAAATCTAAAACAATATTTTTTAAAATATTAAAATAAATTTAATAAAATGTTATTAACTATTTAAATTAAATGTTTTTGATTTATTATTTTCTAACAAAAAAATTGTTCATTTTATTTTTGAAAAAAATAACAATTCTTTTAAACTTTAATTTTTTATTCACATCTATTATCTAATAGTTTAAATTATTAAATAAAAATAATCAAAAAAAAACAATTAAATTTGATTTTGAGTTCGGTGTTTTTTGAATAAACACTAAAACTATTATAAAGGTAAAATAAACCATAATAAGTACTATAGAAACCAATCCAAAAATCAAAGTGATTAAATATTAAGTTTTTGAAAAAAAGGAATGGATAAGAGAGTGAAAGGGCGGAAAGAACAAAGAGATAAAGGACCAAAATTAAGAGTAAAAACCAATGTAAATGCAACAAAAGCGTGGAATTAGAAAATTTAGAAGATGGCCTTGGCGACACGTTTTACACCTTTCTTCACCGCGCCAACTAATGTTTTTGGATTTCCGTGGTTGAGTTTCGGGTCCTTTCCTTCTTGATTAAGTTTGCAAGTGCTGAAATTAATTGGCAAATTCCTGTTATTCTTAAAGTCATCATATCTAATTCTAATTCGATGCTCGAGATTCAAGTATCTAACCAATCGTCCTTGCTGGGCAATTGAAAGTTTGCCGACTACCTTAAACAACTCTCTCATTAAATCACGGCGTGCCTTCCGGGTTTTCCTCATATTCTCGTTTGTTACACGAATTTTGTCCCGAAGTACTTTTGTCTCGTCGTGGCTTGTGAACATATTCATATCTTCCATATTTTGCTCGTTCTCTTTCACAAGTTCTCGCTCTGTGTCGTCAGCCTTTTTCAAGTTAGCTTCCAACGCTTCACAAGTTTTAATAATGGCAGTCACCTGAGCTCTGCACTGGTCACCACGGCATGCATCTAATGGGCTGATCACTTCATATCCTCCAAATCCACTCAAGGCGTACATCTACATCGTTACTTTCTGCTCAGTCGTTGAACATGAAACAATCTAAACCCAATTTTGAAAGACAAAAAAGTCTCAACACATAATATAACAAGGAACAAACTTGCGCATTGGCGAAGAGAATCATGTACATAACAATTACCACTTGCATTTTTTGAAAAATATAATACGAGTTCTAGTTCCTTTTTTATTTTTCAGAACGATTGATTTTTATTAAGATATTTTGGGAGGGATTGATCAAAGATAGTAATTTCAAAACTATACTTATACTAGAATTTACTTTTTGAAAAATTGTAATATAGTACATTTCATTTATTCTTTTATTATATATTGTAATATATCATAGTTATGTGTAATTTTTAATTTTCGTGTTTTTATATTTTAAGCTATTAAATTGCTATTTTTCGGGATTTTGTCGAATAATAACAGTTCTTTTTTTGTTTATTTTTTCAAGGGTGTTTTCCCGATTATGTACATTTGAAACGTTTGTTTAATTTTTTTTTTATGAAAACCTTAAAATAGAATTAATACTATTATTTCACCACAAAGTGTGTAAAGAATTTGTCCTTCTTTTATTAGTAAGTAGATTTGGAAATTCTATATTATATAATTAAAAATGTTTCAAATTTCAAAATAATATTTTTTTTTGGTATAGTAAATATTAATAAAATAAAATTATTAATAAATGAAACTATATATTTATGAAAATCAACTTTTGAAAGAAGGTCAATTTCTAAAAACAATATTAATTAAAAATTGGTTGTTTTTTATACAAATAATAGTTATTATAAGTTGAAAAAAAAAATAAAATGTTATTTATAATAATGTTATTAAGTTCTTTTCATTATGAATTACAATTATGAAAATTATTATAATAAAATTAATTTATTTATTATTAAATAATCGTTAAAAAATTATAAACATTTGTTATTATTTTTATTATTATTATATTTACAAATTAACTACTTTATTTATTAAGTCAAATTTACTTTGAAAAATTAAATGCATCAGAATTTAATGTATTTTTTTTATTATAAATTTTTTTATTTTGTTCTTTCTTAATTTTTTTTTATTAACAAAAAAAACGAATGACACACATTTCTTACAGAAGCAAGCGATTACTAAATAATTAAAAGGCCAATTGATAATACTCATCCCAAGGTGATTATTATAGTTTTTTGTTGTAATTATCATATTATAATAACTAATAGAATTTATTAAAAAATTAATATAAAGAAAACACCAAAACGAAATGAAGGTATTTTTGTATTGTTTTTTTCAAAAATATAATTTAACGATCAACTATTACTATTCTTTACCATTAATAACTTTTTAATAATTATTGCTCCAAGTAGAATGGAAGAAAGTCATAAGAATAACATCCCCCAATTCTTCGGCATATGAAACTTGTGATGTAAAATCAAATAATTTAATACCTAATAACACGGGATTGTTCCCATTTAAAAAACTATCTGCCTATCTCCACTACTGATAATCTTCTAATCTGGTTGAACCCTAAATTATTATTATTTTACAAAAAAATAAAAAATAAAAATAAAAAAAAATAAAAAATACGATGATTGTCCGGCAGATCGTATTTATTCATCAAAACGTGTCTTAAAATAATACTAAATATCCAATTTAACGTTAAAATAGTTTAGTAATTCTTTTCATCATTTTTTCGGTGCTTCATTTGTATTTATTTTTTCATTTAACTGATTTTTGAGTTTCGTTTTGTCCAGTTTTCAGATTATCAAAATGCCTTCCACAATTCAAGGACCGACATATTCTCTTGTCCTTTCGCCGCACAGTTTCTTCACACAAGTAGAATTTATCTCATTAATTCCTCCATCACCACAAAGTAATGTTTGTTCCACCACTTATCTTTTTATTAAAGATAAACTAATAAGAAGGATTCAAAGACAAACTATTCAACAACTAGTTACTTAGAACTATTGCGAACTATAACACCGACTTTGGTCTTTAACGAGTTGTGTTCACAAACCCGTGCTCTTACTGAACCATCAACACCTCAACACAATCAAAATAAAGACAATTTAAATTACGATTTAATCGCTTATGTCGATATGATACTTGGTTCGTCACAATCAAACACACCAAATCAATGTAAAGTTTCTTCATCAAGATATAAAGTGATTTCAGTGTTAGGCCATGGCTCTTTTGGACAAGTTTTAAAGTGTTTGGATATGAACACCGGTTTGTTTGTTGCATTAAAAGTGTTAAGAAATCGCTCAGCGTATTTTAGACAAGGAATGCTTGAAATCGCAATTTTGGAATTGTTAAATGATAAATTCGATAAAGAGTGTATTGGTCATACTTTACGTCTTATTGATCACTTTTTATTTTATAATCATATTTGTATAGTAACTGAAATGCTTGGAATTAATTTATATGAATTAATGTGTCAAAATGGGTGCAGAGGTTTTGGTGCAAGTGTTGCAAGAGGATTCGTAAAACAAATCTTAGAAACTTTAATTCAACTACATGCAAATAATATCATTCATTGTGATTTGAAGCCTGAGAATGTTTTACTTGTGGAGTTTGTTTTACTATATTATACTATAATTATATTATAATTATATTATAATAATATAATAATTGTATTATAATAATAATATAATAATAAAAGAATAGATATAGAATAGATAGACTCAAAAGCAGCTTCACGAAACAGATACGAGTGATAGACTTTGGGAGTGCGTGTTTTGAGAACAGCACGTTGTACACGTACATCCAATCGCGCCATTACCGTGCGCCAGAAGTGATACTTGGGCTTCCATATTCGAGTGCGATTGACATGTGGAGTCTTGGTTGTATTGCTGCCGAGTTCTTCATTGGAATCCCATTATTTCCTGGGAGTAGTGAATACAACCAAATCTACAAGATCATTCGGATGATTGGCATTCCACCAAGTGCGTTACTTGAGAAAGGGACCAAAACAGACAATTTCTTTAATAAATTGAAAGGTGCAAATGGAAAGACTTTATATGAACTCAAAACCAAAGAACAATATGAGAGAGACAATGATATTATTATAGATAACAACAAAGACTATTACAATTACACATCTCTCAAAGATTTTTGTATGCGAGTACCTTTCCGAATATCGTCCAAAGACAAAGAACGGAAAGACGAATTCCGTTCCGCGTTCTATGACTTTTTAAACAACATATTGATATGGGAACAAGAGAAGAGAATTACTCCACAACAAGCTATTAATCATCCATTCATTACTAAAGCTCATTTTGAATTGGGTTCGAAAGAACTCAAAATGAGCAGTGACATTCCTCAATCTCTAAAATCCGTTGAGCTTCAACCAAAAATTGAAGACGTCCTCAAAATGTTATTTCCTTCAGAAGTTATAGCAAAGACGCAGTCGCAAACTCGTTTCAATCAAACAAATTACTATGACATTTACTTAGCAGCTTTAGAGAAAGGCGTAGTTTTAAATATTCAAAGTCCAAATCCATTCACAATGGATCCCATCACACCTTCTTCTTTAACAACTTACATTCAAAAAGAGAAAGAAGACTTCAGAGTGTTAGACGATCTTCGTAAATTGACAAAATCAGTGGACAACACAGACTCCATATTTAACACCAAAGATGTTTCTCTTGATGGGCGGAATTCAGTGGACCTATTTGCTGGTCAAAAGTTGGATCTCAAAGTGAACCAAAGTGACTTTGATAAGGAGTTAATAGTCTCCGAGAGTCTTTCCCTCTCTCCTTGTGTGCCACATATGAACTGGTGATACACTTATCGTTAAATATTGTTTCAATTAATGTTATTCTTTATTCCTTTAGTTATATTACTATTGTTGAATAGTAATAGTACTACTAGTATTATTAATAATATCGTTACTATTATTCTCTTCGAAATACAATAGTAAAGTTAAATAGTTCAATTATAATTAATTAATTTGATACAAAAAACAAGTCCTCATCGTTTTCATTGAGTCTCGACTGGGGCTAAATCAACAACAGTGAGCAGCTGTGATGGGGGTCTGACCTTCTTCCCCTTCTCACTTTTGAGAGTCTCACTGTCTTCTATAGTATTCACTTTTATAGTATTTTTACTATTAATATTAGTATCATGAGACGATGGGTTGCCGACCACCGAAGTCGCCATATCTGCATCACTTTCAGGCAACTTCATCTCTGTAGTTTTACTCCACGAGTCTCTGTCAGACCTTCCAAAGACGTTTCTCTTTTTTGGGACACTAATTGGTGCAATACCATTGTTATCGACACTCTCCGGTCGTTGGTTCTTATCGATTCTGTCGTGGTGGACGATTGGATCCAACGACGGGGAGTCTGTTAAACTTCCTTGTAATGTGATATCGACTGATTTTGTCAATTTGCGGACGTCTTCGATTTCATCTTCTTTAATTGCAAGTACATTGAGTTGAAGTAATGAAGGGGGAGTCATTAAAGGCAAAGCAAATGGATTCGGATTTTGAATATTAAGTATAATCCCCTTATCAAACGCTTTCAAATAAACTTCATAATATCGAGCGGGACCAAATAACTCACTTCGACTTGTTAACTCCGGACATATTTGTAAGATGACATCTTCAAGTGATGGAGTTTCATGCGTCGGATACGTTCGAAGTGGCGAAACGTTTCGTTCGGGGACAAATACACCATTAAATGGCCGTTTAGTAATGAACGGATGATTAATAGCTTGTGATGGTCGCATTCGAAGAAATGGATCCCAGACTAATACTTTCCCTAAAAAGTCGTAGAATGCGGCTCTGATCTCATCCTTTCGAGATTCATCGCGTGCTCCAACTCGAAATGGTACTCGCATACAAAAATCTTCTAAAGACCCATAATCAAAGTAATCCCGATTCGATTCGATATTCACGTTGTTGTCTCTCTCATATTGTTCTTTGGTTTTGAGTTCATATAAAGTCTTTCCATTTGCACCTTTCAATTTATTAAAGAAATTGTCTGTTTTGGTCCCTTTCTCAAGTAACGCACTTGGTGGAATGCCAATCATCCGAATGATCTTGTAGATTTGGTTGTATTCACTACTCCCAGGAAATAATGGGATTCCAATGAAGAACTCGGCAGCAATACAACCAAGACTCCACATGTCAATCGCACTCGAATATGGAAGCCCAAGTATCACTTCTGGCGCACGGTAATGGCGCGATTGGATGTACGTGTACAACGTGCTGTTCTCAAAACACGCACTCCCAAAGTCTATCACTCGTATCTGTTTCGTGAAGCTGCTTTTGAGTCTATCTATTCTATATCTATTCTTTTATTATTATATTATTATTATAATACAATTATTATATTATTATAATATAATTATAATATAATTATAGTATAATATAGTAAAACAAACTCCACAAGTAAAACATTCTCAGGCTTCAAATCACAATGAATGATATTCGATTTATATAAAACAATTAAAGTTTGTAGTATTTGTTGTAAAAAAGTTCTTGCAACATTAACGCCAAAACCTCTGCACCCATTTTGGTTCATTAATTCGTAAATATTAATTCCAAGCATTTCAGTTACTATACAAATATGATTATGATAAATGAAGTGATCGATCAATCTCAGAGTATTTCCCTTTCCGTCTTTATCGAATTTATCATTTAACAATTCCAAAATTGCGATCTCAAGCATTCCTTGTCTAAAATACGCCGAACGATTTCTTAACACTTTTAATGCAACAAATGTTCCATTACTTAAATCAACACATTTTAAAACTTGTCCGAAAGAGCCTTGGCCTAACATAGCGACTACTTTATATCTCGATTGTTTAATCTTCGAGTCTTCCGGATGGTCTGAATTCTCCGATCCAATAATTTGGTCTGTATATAATATTAAGTCATAGTTAATGTTATCAAGTTCCGTATTATGACACGGAGTCGCCGGAAGCGTCACAGCACGAAGTTTTGTCAATGACGACAAGTCAAGGGAGGGGTCGATCATCGAAATGATCCCAAGATACTTTTGAGTCGCTTCCGATGCCAACGGGGGGTTTTCCGGGGGCACAACGATACCGTCGATGTCCAATAGAAGGGGTTCCGTTAACAGCGAATCTTTGGATCGAATTAAAACACTTCGCCGTCCAAAGAAACCTTTCCCACGTTTCGACATTTTCATTTTTTTCGTTTTGGTATTTTTGTTTGTCGTTAATAGTTGTTTAATTATAAAATAAAGGCGATCTTAACTCTCTTTTTCCCGTTGATTGACGCTTTTTTTGGACTGTACCCTTTTTCTATTCGTGTCTTTTCAAGTTCTTGCGTCTGATTGGACATATTATTATTTTTTAATTAATTATTCCATATCTTTTAAAGAAGTTTTGATTGGATGTATAGTTTATTTGTAATTTAATTGTAGTTTATTATTAAACCAAAAATTTTAAAAACGAAAAAAAGATAAAAAACTAAAAAAATTGAAATGTGAAATGGTTGGTGGAACGAGAATGCATAAAGGTGAGGAATAATCGTAAAAAACATTTTAAATAACACTCTGCGAAGCTCAGTCCATTTCACCCATCTTTTGTCTTGCTTTGTCCAATGTTCTGAGTTGCTTTCCTCTAGTTATAGCTGCGTCTTCGTTACAGACCCCCTACATTTGAGTAATTAATTCCAGGTACAATGACAATTTAATACAATGATTATATGTAGAAACTCAACGTTGAATTTTGATTCAAATTCCAGAAAGTTGATTTTATGTTCACATGAGAGAAATTGTAATAAATGTTCACAGTGACGGAACAAACGATGATAAGAGGGAGGATAGAATTCATTTGGTTTTCGCAGTCTCCGAATTTCTTGTTGAGTACATTCATCTTGATAGAACACTCATTTTTCGTCTCATCGTCGACTTCGTACGCGAAAGGTCGATCTCCAGTCATCTTTTTCAGTTGGTCACTTTTTCGGATCAACTCTCCGTTCTTCAAGGCGCCTTCGGGACTCTTAGATACCAAAAATGGTTCAATTTTACATATACTTCTTCTTCTACCGGACATGCGCGAGAGTTTCTCGACGCGTTGTTGTCGCCGCTTTAGATATTGATAGTCAAGAAGTTCCTCTGCCATTGCCATGAAGTGATTATTTTGTTTTGTTAATCATATTTTCTGTTGTCATTTCTTCATTTTTTGTTGGCATTGTTATTTGCACCATTATGGCCAAACGGTATTTTCACGTCATTTTCTGTGTCAATCTCCAGATCGATTTCATTTATTGGTCATTTCTTGGCAGTTTTGCTGTGGCATCGTTTTGATAACTTAAATGACAAGGTGAGGGTGTTCCCAGAATTTGTGGTAAATATAAAGAATAATTCGGGTATTTTCAGCCGTTTTTTTTGGTATGGCATTTTCTCCTTCTTTTTTGGAATAATGAGGGTAAAATTAAAAAAATTGTATTTTGTTTTTAGATCGCTATTTTTAATATTTTACAGTTTAGATAGTATGCCGTTTATTGTTTTTTTATTGTTTTTATTGTTGTTTTTACCGTTTGTTTTAGAAAAAAAAATTACTATTATTTTTTATTATAAAAATATAGCAAAAAAAAGAATTATTTACCAGTTTAACGTTATTTTTATTATCATTAATTTGTTTCTTTCATTAGTTTTCCCAAAAAGTACATTTTACAAAACAGTCCAATTAAACTACTATTAATAGTTAATTTTATTGTTTATATTGGTTTATATAATTCATGCCTTAAAAAAGAACATTTTTAATTAATCAATATTTTATTTTTCACAAAGAATTGTCATTAAAATTTTCAAAACCTTTTTTTTGATGTTTTTCCCACTTTTTTAAATATTTTTTACCTGTTATATTGAGTTAGTTGATAAAAATGGGCCCATTAATCCCGTTTTTATAGTATTGACAAACGTGAAAAATAACCAAAAAAAACAATGATAATTTGTAACCCAAATTTTTTTTTACTATTTTACAAATAAAAAAGTCAAAACAAGAAACTTTTTCATGAAATTTGCATTTTCAGGTTTTAAATACAAAACTATTTTTAAGTTATATCATTCATAGTTCTTTTTATTTAAAAAATACTTTAAAAATGTTTATTGTAACATAATCAATTTAAATGCAAACCCCCATAATTCACAGAATGAAATATATTTTAAAAATATTCACAATAACAAAACTAATAACACAAATTTATAATTGAGTAACTTTTATTCCATTTACTTTTTTCTCTACATATCCTAATGATTTTTAACGAATATGATTAAATGATAACAAAAACTATAATTATAGTTTTGTTTATTTTCATTTATTTAGAACACAAAAAACGTGGTCTCAGCAATTTTTTTTTAGTATAATTATTATTTTTTTATAATTTTATAATAATAATAAATAAGTATTTGATACTATAATATTTAGGTTTGCAAATATAGAACAATACTTATGTAAAAAGAAGATGATGATGCCTTCAACTACAGATCTATAAATACTTTCGTAAGAATTAAATTCAGGCACGATTATAATTTAAAAACTATAATAGCTTAGTTTTCCACATACAACATAAGTTTGAGGTGATCCCCTCAATTGGCTTGAATAGCCAGTAAGAAGTAGGAAGTTAACGCTAAAACCGGGGAATTTGGCAAAATGAACCCTTTTTCTATTTCAATTCTCTTATTTTTGGAATGGGCGATTTGCTATGGTACATTTTACTATTCTTGAGCCATCCATTTCTTTTTGCTATTTTATAGTAAAATGTTCTACAAATAAACTAAACACTGTGATTTAAATCCAAATATAGATTGCATGGGAAAAATGTTTTTGAAACATCAACACTTTGACGTTTGTAAATAAAGAGTTTGAGTGTACAATGCGCCGATAAATCCACAAAAAGCGGGCGATAAGGCGATTCAAACTTCAAAAGGGAAAGAGAAAAGGAGGACTAGTGGAAGGCCGTCAAACTCAACGAGTATTCAAGTCAGAATTTGCTTTATTTTGAGATTGACGATTTGGCTGAAGTCCCGGCTTTTGAGATAATAACACCTCAAACTTGAGAAATAGATTGAGGGTTTTTGCGCCGTTTTGCACAATGACCGCCAGAAAATTGAGAATAGTAAAAAATGCTACTTCCAAAAATCAAACCCTTTGATGCTTCCCAGCCTATATAATAGAACTCCAGACCTATCAAATCAAACAGCTCGATGGAGATCTTCGCGAACCAAGCGATCAAGTGGAACAGTTTCAAAACAGTTCGCCGCACCGTCTTAATCCGTGCGACATTGGCTCAGATGAATTGTATGCAAGGTGTTACTGCGAACATTATTGGCCAAGGTAAATTCACTGTTTTGCGTTGGGGCGAATGTAAACGACACAACAGTGGCTCGACTACACGCCGTCTTAATACTTTCCAGGTCTTCATGTTTGGCAAACCTGTTTGGGTGGCAGAGAATTTGGTTGAAAACCCTACTCATGTCGAAAAGGTGATCTATGCCAGTTGCACAGTTGGACTCTATCGTATTCACTACACGAACGATTTCGTCCCATCAACACGTAAAGTCTCACAAACAACACTCAAAAGTACTAACCCTAATGACTCAACCAAAATATGTTCGTCACCGTCACTCCCTTCTATTAACACTTTTCACGGACTTGTTCCTCAGATTGACACCCAGTGGGTTGTTAACAGTAATCCACACAACGACACAGTACAAAAACAGACAACGACCCTACCCAAATTGTCTGACTTGTTCCTTTAAATGTGTGTAATTTGTTTTTACTTGACGTTTTGGTTCAATTTACTCTCATTTGTGGGACTTATATATTCTCCCATTCCTCCACTACTCTCTTTTTTTCATTTTTATAATCTCTTTAACTACATTTTATGATTCATTTTATTATTAATTATAGTTAATTACTCATGTAATCGACTACTGAAATTGATAATGTTATTGTGAAATTGTCTGGGGAGCAAACAATTATTTCTAAAAAATCTGCCTTTTTGTGTCATATCATAAAATGGTTGCAATAAAATATTATATATTTTTAATTAAATTATTAAATGAATTAGTATTTTCTTATTGTTGAATTATTCGTTTTTTTATGTGGAATGAAGTACATTCTTTGGTAATAATGCAAAAGAAAAGAAGAAAGTTTTGTTATTTTTATTTTTCGTCGATTATTTTTTTTAACGAATCGTTAAAACTCAATATATTTGTAATAAAAAATAATTTATTATCTTATAGTTTAAACCCTATTTGAAGAACAACAAAAATATAAATGCCAAAAAAGACAACAAATTTTTAATATCATTTAAAGGAGAAGATTTTTTTAACTTTTACAATTAAAAGTTTACAGAAAAACAATGAAATAAATTTTTTAATTTATTGTTAGTAATTCATTTTATTAATATTACTAAATATTTTAATATTATTTTATTAGTACATTATTTCCAATTTTTGTTTTTGTAATAATAACACAATTATTAGTATAATATAGTTAAAAATATGATTTGATTAACTATAAATAATTATTTAAAATTAAAACCAAATCAATTAAAACTATAATAAAAATAATTATCAACTCTAATAATGAAGGATAACTCAAAATAATAGTGTAAAAAATAGATTATTCTGCCTTAGGAGCGATCAAGCCGTTCTTCTCTGGTTCGAGAGTGGTTTGTAACAATTCGTGGGAGAGTTCCATCAACTCTTTGACGACGTCTTCTCTCTTAGCCCCGACTTTTCCCGGGAGTTCGATATAATATTTCAACTTTGGTTCTGTTCCACTTCCTCTGAGAGTAGCCAAACAGCCATTTTTGAATCTGTAAGTGATCATTTGAGCTGAAGCTTGGATTGGCAATTTTGGTTTCTTGTCTGCCTCAGCGGTATCGATTCCGAGAGTGAGATCTCTAATGCTTTCGACCTCGAATTGTCCGAACTTCCAGATGTATTTTCCTTCGTTTCTCATCTTGTTGAAGATACGTTCCATCAGTTTTGGATCGTAACAGAAGTAATACTTATTGTTGCTTGCGAAGTAACCGTATTTCTCATACAACTCATCCAATCGTTGTTCGATAGTTTTACCTTTCTCCGCATATTCAAGTGCCATAGCTGCTATACACACCGCTGCTCTCACACCATCCTTATCATATGACATATTCCCAATAACAAATCCAATAGCTTCTTCATACGCCATTAACAACTTCTTATGTTCCGTGTCAACCACCTTCTTCGCGACGTTTCCAATCCACTTGAATCCCGTCAATGTCTCGAGTGTCTCAAATCCCTCAACTTGTCCCATTTTTGAGATGAAATTGGAGGACACGGCACTTCTCACCATGAATGCTGGGGTCTTGCATCCCGATTCCTTATACTTGACATAGCACCAGTCCGCAATGATGTTCGACATCTCATTGCCGCTCAATTGTCTCCACCCGTTCTTTGTTCTGACACCAATCGATAATCTGTCCGCATCGGGGTCATTCGCAATGATCAAATCCGCTCCATTTGCATCTGCGACGTCAATCGAACACTTCAACGCGCCTTTTCCTTCTTCTGGGTTTGGGAATGGGACGGTTGGGAATTCCGGATCGGCTTCATTCTGCAAAGGTACAAGAAGGGGTTGTGGTAACTGCGCTGCTTCAAAAGCCTTTTGTACATAGACCGACCCCACTCCATGCATTGGAGTGTAGACGTATTTGATTTTTGGTGTTTGAGGGACTTTGAAATGGGGGACAGTCTCAAGCATCTGTTTAGTATATTCCCCTTGAACTTTCTCAAGTGGGTCGATGACGTGAGTTAAGTCGACGTGAGTTAAGTCCCACGGCTCTAAGTTCTCGTCGATCGATTTGGCAATCGTCGCGTCAGTCGGTTCGACGATTTGACAGCCATTCTCCCAATAGACTTTATAACCATTATCTGCTTTTGGATTGTGTGAGGCAGTCACCATGACTCCACAAGCAGTTTGTAACAAAGAAACAGCAAAAGCAGTGTATGGAGTCGGGACTATTGTACTGAACAAATACACTTTAAAGCCTTCGTGTAAGAAGACTTGTGCGGTGATAGCTGCAAATTCTTTGGAGTGATAACGCCCATCATAGCCGATAACTACTCCTTTGCTTTTCGCATCTTCAACTTCTGATAAAACTGCCTTGGCAAGACCTTGCGAGGCTTGTTGCACAATCAGATTGTTCATACAAGCAAACCCAGCTT